TTCATATATTTGATTTTTTTCAGTATGTATCTACAATGTAGATGGTAGGGGTAGCTGTCATCTACTGATCAGGTTAGTGGTTTGATTCCTCGTTCCCCCAGTTTGCATGCCAAGTGGTTGCTCTCTGCTGCATCCATCAGAATATGAATGTGTGTGTGTGTGTTAGCTAGGAAGTCTTGATGCACGCTCAATCATCCAGGTAAGCTAGTTAGCTAGGAAGCACTGAAAAGCATAGAAGAAAGTGCTTGTGTGAATGGGTGAATATGGGATGTTGTATAAAGCGCTTTGAGTGCTCTGGGAGAGTAGAAAAGTGCTATAACAGTCCATTTACCATTTAGTAAAAATAAAGAAAAAATATTTATTGAGAAGGTATGTCAAAATTTTTGACTGGTAGTTTATATAGCGTCAAATTACAACAACAGTTGCCTCAAGGCGCTTTATACTGTAAGATAAATCCAACAACAGGGGATTTTTCTCGCTCTTAAGTAACTGAAGCCTTCCATTGAACTACCAAATAAACAAATTGGTACTCTCTTTCTGGCCAGACACGTGGCAGCACTTCTGCTATACTTTTGCTTTGTATTTAACAAAATAAAAATGCAGACATAAGTGTACACATTAGTTTTTGCCTGCGTGAAAATTGTTTTCTTTACAAATAACAATAATAATTTGTACTCTCTGCTCATATCACCTTCATATTAAATCATGTTTTGCTTTTTAAAAAAAACATTTTAACATTGCACTCAACAACAACCAAATCCTCCCTAACAAAAAACGTAATTTCAAGGGTCAAATCGCATATTTCACCACGTCAATATACGGGGCGCAAATAGGGATGACGGGTTGGGCTCCAAGTTCGAGACCTACAATAATACAAAGAAAACCCAACAATCATATGACCCCCTACTTCCTACTGTCACTTTGGTGACAGTAGGAAGGTAAAACTCCCTTTTAACAGGAGGAAACCTCCAGCATAACTGACTCCTTATCAATTGTCATTGGCTCCACCTCCTCTAAGCAGCATATCAAAGACATTACATTCATGCAAATTAATTACGTGCTAAGTGGTCATATGTTTGTGCACGTTGAAGGTATTTCCCCTCTTTGTTGTGATCAATGTACCCCAACATTGATCACTCAAAAAAGTCATTATCACACAGAATGTTACACAGAACATTTTTCTTAAAGGTAATGTAGTGCGTTACTTATTTACACACAAGAAAAAGACATCTGTATCATTTGCGAGCATAGGTCTTGTAAACCAAACATTTCTAGTTCTCACAGTATGCTGGATCCCAGTACAGCTGCAAGAGATGTTTCTTTAATTGAGCTGTCCTCCAGAGCTAGCCAGCTGAATTTGGAAACAGCGCCATTCATCCCCCCAAACAAGCAATGGCCAATGTTTGTTGCCTAATAACAGAACAGAAAATTTGGACGGGATAGGCCGCCAATTTTGCGTTTCATGGTTGTTTTTTGTTCCATACAAACCGAGATACCTGGCTATTTAAGTTGATAAACAAGATTTTTTTAGGAAGATAGGGAGACATTGGAACAAGTACAGGACTTTAGGGAGTATGCACATTTTTAAAAAGTTGATCCTGCCTCCTAGAGCAGTGGTTGGCAACCTTTAACACCCAAAGAGCCATTTGGACCCGGTTTCCACAGAAAAGGAAACAGTGGGAGCTGCAAATACTTTTTGACAACTAAAATGAAGATAACACGATATATATTATTTGTTTGTTTTTTACCTTTACACTTTGTATAAACAACTATAGTGTGTTGCTTATGAAATCCATGAAGTGCTACAGAGAAAATTACATTATATTTATGTAATGAACACATTTTAAACATTTTGAACTCTTAAAAAAATAATAACAAAAAAGAAACACACCGAGTTGAAGGTGTCTTTCAAATGAATTAAAAAGCTGAACTCAAATTATCCATGTAGCAAACAAAAAAAAATTGTGAGCTGTCATCTTTATCACCTTTGGGCTTTCGAAATTAATTATGAAAAATAAATATTTGCTAAATATTTATTTTACCTGGCTAATGAGGCTTCTGCTCATGAACCTCTGCGCACAGCGTCTGCAAATCAGGGCTGTACGAAGTCACTTTCATCTTTTCACAGGACTGTAAGCTGTCGTCTGTGAGGCGTGAGCAGTGTTTGTTTTTAACATAGTTCATGGTGGAGAATAGCTGCTCACATACGTATGTGGATTCGAAGATCGACAGACATCGTGGCCCTCTGTAAATCCATCCATCCATCCATCTTCATCCGCTTTATCCGGGGCCGGGTCGCGGGGGCAGCAGCCTAAGCAAAGAGCCCTCTGTAAATCTCTGGCTAAAACTGTCAGTTTGTCAGCTCAAACACTAACGTGTTGCCTCCTCTCCCCTGAAGAGTTGTATTCAGCTTGTTCAGGTTTGCTGTCATGTCCACCATAAAGTGCAGCTTTCCAGCCACTCTGGCTGTTCCAGCTCAAAAAAGGTGAGCCCTCTGCTGCTCATGAAAGTTTTCACCTCTCCCAGACATGCAGCAAACCGTTTCAGCACCTCTCTTCTGGAAAGCCACTGGACTCTGTTATACAGCAGGAGATCAGAGTACGTGCTCTCCACCTCATCCAGTAACGTACGGAACTGACGGGGGTTTAAATCTTTTGCTATGATTTTATTGATAAGTTGTAGGGTCTACCTTACAATATAAAGCGCCATGAGGCGACTGCTGCTGTGATTTGGTGCTGTATAAATAAAACCAACTGGTTGGTGGTCCTCCACCAACCAAGTGGTGGAGGATAAGAAGAGGAAGGAAAATACCCTTTGAGCAATGGAGAATATGCAAAGATAAGGAATGGTGACAAATGGAATCCATGTGACAGTTTTTTTTCTAGGTCATGAGTAGTGTTTATAGAGCAAATATTAAGCTAACATTAAGTAGGACAGTGTTTTCCCAGGTCAGTAGCCAGGAGCAACAATCCTATGTCAAACCTGTGAAAATGTGACTCGCTACACTACAATATTCAAGCAAATAATCAAATGTCTTTTGAAAAAGGTGTACTCATTTCATCCCAGTAGTTCAGTTTGTTGGAATTGTTAGCTCGCTTGCCTATCGAGTCCATTAATCGGTTCCACTTGCACTACAATCAGCTGATTTTATTTTGTCTCAGAGGAGACAGTGGCACAGTCTCCTCCATAGATATGAACATTACTTTTATTTCAATTGCACAAAAGCTTGATGGCAAAGTGTATACTATATCCAGAACAGAAACAACCGCATTATGCTTGTAAAACAACTTTGGCTCTTTGCAAGTATCTGCACAAAGCCTCTGGTAATATGTTGTGCACAAAAAACAACTTCTCACCTGAGAGTTATTTTTAAAAGATTTTTAAATTCATTGAATGCAGTACCACAGCTCACTTAAAGAATGGTATTTTATTGGACTAAAAACTAAAACTGCTCATAAACAAAAAATGTAATGATTAATGTGTGATTACTTCTAGACAAAATCCTACCTTTGCCACTGCTCGGGAATTGCATTCACTCAATAAAATGTATCACACTTTGTTGGCGATAAACTAGTTTCCAAATCAGGCTGTGGGACAATGTCAGACTTGAAACAGAGTAAACTTTAACCCAATGCATTTAAACATAAAATGTTTTAACACTGATGAGCAGCTGTCAGATTAGAAACTGATGGCAGCACCTGGAGCACAGTGAGCAGAAAAACAGACTTATATAAATTTCACTTGCATCCCTCAAACCCCCACTTGCAATTAACAAAAAACAAGTTCTCTTTTGGATTAATATCAACACATTTGCTGCAACAGTGTTTCATTTTACTGTTTAATGCAACATTGTGAATTCATAAGGCCAATAAAGATTCACTTCATCTTTTCAATCAGAATGGTTATCAGTTCCGAATCTATATGCCATCTATAAAGTATGATGTGCGATTTATTTCGGGGGGTATCCCACCTGTCTATCCACGATATGCAATCCTTGTGCAGACCTATGTAATTCCATCTTCTTCCTTCCCTATAGCATGATCACGAGTTGGAATTTCCATACTTTCTTTCATTATCAGTCAGTTCCCTATGTCCGCTCACTGCAACTTGGATCTCTCTTTTAGTGGCAGTAAATGAGCTCACCCAGTTGTCAGTGTTGCATGCTTTCCTCACCAGGTTTCTCTGCAGTTCCTCTCCAACACCTCCTCCTTTCATAAACGTCTCCACCATCTGTTTTGCTTGCTTTAACTCATACTCTTCTATGATGGGATCCAGGGCACCGAGGTAGCCCTCACATATTTTCCGTAGAGGAGGGACAGGTACCCTGGGAAGTCCCTTCTGGTGGTTCAAGTATCTGCCACGAACAAGAATCACTTGTACAGGCTTCAGAACCCCTCCATGAATCAGTTTGTGTACTTTATTTATTTTTTTGTTTGTGTTTTATTTTTTCTTCACACGTGCTTTATCAGTACTATCTGATTCCGTGTAATTATTAATGTACAAGTTGTTTTATTGCCTTCAGGAGGACTTTTACGTTGAAAGATATAAACGGAAGTTATGAGGTAGAAACGATTTCGTATGTGAAAACACGTCGTCATGTGCGGATGCTTGTGTTTAACTATGTTTTTATATTCCTGCACACGGGATTACACAGACTGTTGCATAAAGCATATTTCTTTCTTACGATATGAACCGGAAGTTCAGGTATTACTCCAGTATTGCCAACTTACCTAGTACCGGAAGTGCTCGTGTTGTGTTTATGGTCTCTTTCCTTTGTTAATGACAGCACACGGGATTTACATTTTTTATACGCCAACACTTTAAATGACAGCTAATATCAACGAAATACGGGAACAAGTGTGCTGTACGAAGATTAGTTTTTTTGGCTGTACATCATTAACAAATACTTGTTTATCGAAATTAGTTTTGCGACGAGATATTAGTATCATTCATTTTCCCCGTGGTTCATCAACGCCACACGAGAAGAATTGTTTTTGTCATGTGACAGGAAGTATACGTGAAGTTCGACATTATTCGGAAGTGTGTTATTTACAATGTAGCGACACATAACTCTAACGCATTGAAATACGACAGTTACAGGTTGTTGTTTTTTTATTTTGAGAAGCTCAGCAGTGTTGCCATCAGTTGCTTATTAGATTAGCGGGTTGTGAGCTCTGTAACATGCTAGATTTAGCATTTAGCATACTGGCTACCTTGCTATCACCCGTCACTACAGCCATCTCGACTTGGGTGCTCTCTTTTGACGAATAACGCTTGTCAATAAGTCCGCTTTCAGTTTCACTTTTTCCCTTATTTAGCTAGTGCCCCTTCCTTAATGCCGGAACATATTTGACTACCTTGGGTTGCTGTTGCTGTCCCGCTAAATGTTTCTAAAGTCCTGTCCTGAGTGCTCTGACATGACATGGCCACCCACTGATAGTGGCAATAGGCTGGTACTGACAAGAACTCAAGGATGGATCGATAAGGCAGCTGTCGTCTTTGGCGGTGAGTCAGTGGCACTGCTGTCCGTGAGAGTAACATTTGACCGATGTTTGTTGTAACACGCATATGATAGCTAACTGCTGACTTTCCAGTTGAGGAATTTCCAGTTAGTCCTTCTGTGCTAACACTGGATAAATCAAAACATTGCCGCTAATCCCATATATATGACTATGTCGTTGCTTCATTAATAGTAGCCGTTTCTGACGACACGTGATTGGATAGCTTTAGCCTGGTGCCTGCCGTGAGTATTTCGGTGATGAAACCAGCTGCAAAACCGCTGATTTGTGAGGATACCAGTTTGCAGAGAAGGTTATCACAGCCTGGCTGCTACATTTGGCTAAAGAACAGCAAGCCTACACCCCCAAAACCGCACCGCAGTTGCTTATAAATAAATATGTGTGATTACGAAACGAATTTCGGGTCTCTTAGTGGGGCACTGCACAAGTGACACGTTAAAGGGCATTTCATGGAAAACCTGTGTTAGTAAAGTGTTCAGCCACCACATGCTGATAGAGTAGCTTCAGTCCTTGGATCTTACAGGAGGGCTAAACATAATTGCTCCAACAGACACCATACTTTAATGTTTTAATGGTGGTGTTGGAGAGCATTTTCTGACCCCTCAGGCAAAAATCTCCCATAGTAGTGGTATGATGATTGTGAAGGTTATAGCATATGAATCACACAATTTTCATTCTCGTACAATTCAGTGTGTGCCCTATTGACCAAGTAGTTGAAATCCCACACGAAACCAGTCCCATTAAGACAAAATGTTTCATTTTAGAGTACAAGTGCTATCTCTGAACCACTACAGCTTGATTTCTTTAAGCTGTCATCTATCTGTATCTGACTTGTAGCAATTTACTAGAATTTTGTAGGAACATTATGCAAATGGTTAAAAGAAATTTGTTTGCTATGTTTATTAGACATTTAACGGCTCCCTCGTAAGACCTGCAATCAAGAGGGTCAATCTTTCATCATCACAATTTTCTCCCACCGCGGGTGGCTCTCATCACCCCCGAGCCATCAGGATGTTGGAGGGCCTTGTTGCCTGGGTGCTGAACACATACCTAGGAAAATATGTTAGCAACCTAAATACAGATCAACTTTCCATTGCTCTTCTGAAAGGTAATTACACATGCTGAAATTGTACAGGCGAGTAACTTCACTTCTTTCATATTTGCTTGTGTTTCTTCTTGTTGTCTTTGTCCATTTTCCTCTCACCCTAGTCTGTTGTACTAGATGGCTGCCACTCCACTTTAACCAGTTTATGAATATTAGTTCTAAGTAAAATTTATTTCAGGGGGATGAAGATTGGCACACCTCTGCTATGCCGGTGGACTAATAGTGGTTTGATCTGCTGCTGTTTTAATGATCTGCAGCTCAATGTTAACTGTGTGTGGTCAAAGGGAGTGTGCTTGGAAAATCATTTAAAGACAGTGTAAAAACTGTCAAGGTCAATCTGAATTCAGACACTTTTAAAGGAGTGTGCAGCAGCCCTAGTAAACATGGTGTTTATCTGTTTGTTGTTATTCCTCAGGTGCGGTGGAGTTAGAGAACCTCCCTCTGAGGAAGGATGCCCTTCGAGAGTTTGACTTACCATTCGAAGTCAAAGCAGGTGAAACACATTCACTGATATCTGCACATAGTGTAGAGACAACTACTTTGTTTAAACAGATCTGTATCTGTATGAATACACAGAACTACTAGTCACTTATTTGCTAAGTGAAATCACCAGCAGTCAACCAAGTAGTTTGTCAGACTGGCTACAGAATATTTTCAGAGTGCCTACATGTTTTCATAAAACAATTGATTTTGGGCATCAGTGTATCAAAAGAGGCAGTGGATATAATATATCTCTGTATCAATATTTCCTTCCACATTTATTTGGTACCAGAAGCCTTTTGTGTTGTGTTTGTAATCCAAGTAGTGTCATATAGAACTAAAGAAACGTAATCCTGATGCCATGCTCTATTGGCAATTGTTGCCATATTTTGAATTTGCCCTTTGTTAGGAAATTATTTTTAAAAAGTTGGAAAGTCAGTTCAGATCTTTATTATGCAAATGGCAGGTTTTTCACCCTTTTCAGTGGGATTTTCAAAAGCAGTACTCGACTTTTGGAGGTCTATAGTTATCTTTTGATAGCTTTCGATGCAGGGAACTGCTCTGGATTTTTTTTCTACAGTATCAGTCATTGATACTGTTTACCATAAATTCTTACCTAACATGCTTAAGGCTGTAGTGGATATCTTTGGCTCTGCATTAAATTATTTTTTTCCTATTTGTCTGATAGGACTTTCTCTGTTAGGTCAAACAAGTTTTTCTCTATCATTGCCTTTCTAACAGTGGGGTGTTATGCCGACCGTACCCTGCTACATACCTTCTGACCGGCCGGGAAGCCATCTAGCCCAGTCCAGCAGCAACATCTGCTGTCTGGGCCTGTGTGATACGCTTGTCACAATGAGGCAAGGATGGAATGGGTGAATTAGGCACTTCCAGTCCCAACCGATCTCTTTAACCAGGCTCACCAGAGAGGTGATTTAGCCTCTCTCCATTCTTTCAGGAGGTTGAGGTGATATATTTGTGTGGCACCCCCACTATCCAACCGTACCGTTGCATAGTGAACATCCCCTACTGGCTGTATGACAACAAAGGGCCATTGTCACTTGGCGAGTAACTTTGAGCTGAATGAAGGGAGCAATGAGTGAAAATTGTCTGCGCTGACATTCCTGAGCCTGGAGCGGATTTTCGTGAGATAACCTCACCAATGTGTGAAGTTCAGCTCTCAGGTCCAGAACGTATTGAATTTCGTTCTTAGCTGGGCTTGGACTTTTCTCCCAGTTTTTTTTAACCAGATCCAACACTCTGAGCGAACAGTAACTCAAAGGGAGAGTCTAACCAGGATTCTAATTGCGTTCATCCCTGTGAATGAACTTACAAAGCATGAACTTCAAGGTGTTATTCAGCTGCTCCACCAATGCCTCAGCAGATGGTAGACGCTGGTTCGAATAGACTTGATGCTTAGTAACTTGCGAAGCTCCTTTAACCCTCTGGGGACGACAGACACGCCAACAAATTGTTGTGGCTTCTGCTATCTTTTATGGTGTGGTCTGCTGGGGCGGCAGCATCTCTGCTGGGGACAGGAAGAGACTGAACAGGGTGATCCGAAGGGCCAGCTCTGTTCTAGGATGCCCTCTGGACCCAGTGGAGGTGGTGAGTGACAGGAGAACGGCGGCTAAGCTGTCATCCCTGTTGGACAACATCTCCCACCCCATGCAGCAGACTGTGACAGCACTGAGCAGCTCCTTCAGTGGGAGACTGCGGCACCCACGGTGTGGGACGGAGAGATTTCGCAGGTCTTTCCTCCCCACTGCTGTCAGACTCCATAATAAAGACTTTAACTGATCAAGCACACACATCCATACATATGCAATAATACCAAGTGCAATAATCCTTTCTGTCATCGTTGTATTTTTACTCAGTTGTATATAGTATTTGTATTTGTATTCTATTTTTATCTTATTGTATATTTCTTTTCTTTTATTCTACTGTATATAGTATTTTATTTTATTCTATTCTGTACAGTTGTGTACTGTATTTATTCTTATTGTATTCTAATTTTTGCCTCATAACTTTTGCACTGTCCACTTCCTGCTGTGACAAAAAAAATTTCCCACGTGTGGGACTAATAAAGGTTATCTTATCTTATCTTATCTTATCTTATCTTATCTTATCTTATCTTATCTTATCTTATCTTAAATCCAAATCACATGACCGATTTAAGATGACATAGCATCAAAATGCAGCCCCGCTAAGTCTCTATTTTTCCAGTTTGCAGTTATTTCATGATTCAGGCTTTAAAGGGTGGCGGCAAAAAATATGACAAAGGATACCTTTTGGATTCAAAACTGCAGCAATTACTCTCTTCAGTTTCAAAGCATTACAGCATTTTGGTAAAAGAAGAGGTTGTACAACACAGTGTGAATAATTTTTGTTGCAACTGTTTTTGAAAGGTGTTGCTGCAGTCAAGTGGAATAAGCACAAATGCTGTAAGGAGTCTTTGGTGGGTTGTGGTTTCTGGCTCAGCTGGGGATGGTTGGAGCAGTGGGTTCAGCGGTGGTGTCAGGGGAGGCTAACCAGCATTGCTGGTCTCCATCGTCCAATCATGGCTTTCCGTTGGACCTTCTCAAATAGTGGGAAAAGCTGTGGTGAACAAAGTGCAACAAAATAAACTTCCACAGCACTGCAGTGCCTTATGTGTCAGGTTCTTTTTGTGTTACTGAGTGATTACTCAGTAGGGAGTTTAAAAGCCATTTCAAGCCTTGCAATGCATGATTAACAGACATGAATTTAAAAAGTACTTGTTCTGTTTCTTTTACTAGGCTTCATTGGAAAGATCACTCTCCAGATCCCTTTCTACCGGCCTCACAGTGACCCATGGGTCATCTCCATGTCCCAGCTCAACCTGATTGTTGGCCCTGCCCAGTTGCAGGAGTATGATAGGGAGAGGGACATAGACGAGGAGAGAGAACGCAAAAAACGCCTCCTCAAAGCTCTCGAGGACAAATTCAAAGTAAGTAGATCAAAAGTGTTTTGTTTTTTTCCCAGAAATGGTGGAAATAAAAAATAACAATGTAACAATAAGTTTGTCTTGCCATTTAATTGTCTGGTTACTAATGAACTTTGCCACACAGTGAAAACACCGTTGTAAATTGTAGATGCAGGCCACTGCATCAGTTCTCGCCTAAACAATTTAAGGTTATCTCACCTAACTATTATTTTTGATTGTGATAAAATTATTTTCTGTCTTATATCCAGACGAGCTCATGACATGACAAGTTGTCTGTTCGTCTGTCCATCCAGAAGTCACAGGAATCGCTTTTATCTCATACAGTGATTTTATGATGTCTGGCTTTTCTACTAAGCACAGTTATCTTTAATGTATTTTTCGTATGTCTTTGGCTCTTTCAGAATGAGTGTGAACAGACAGGAGAGTCGTACTGGTACTCTGTGACTGCCTCATTAGTCACCAGAATTGTGGAAAATATTGAGGTAAGACATGAGATACCAGTTGAGATTATATCAAAAACAAATAATAATATAAATAATTATTACAAACAGCCCAACGGATAAACAGAATTTGGTCCATTTTATGTTTTGCCCTCACAGTAGATCTCAGCGGTGGTTTTGTCTTCAGCAGTTAAAAATAAATAAATAACCTCCTCTCTTCCATGAAGCAGCTTTTAAAAGAAATCTTCCTGAAAAGTCTCTGAAAATAGAAACGTGCATGCGTGTGCAGTCAGCTTGTGATCTTTTTTGAACAAGGAGCAGGCAGTGACCAGAGGGTCATTTTGGCCTGTTGAGAACACCTGACATGTGAATGAATGGGTTACAAACTACACAGAATACACACATCAGGCACAATTCTCTCAGGGTCACATTTACTGCAGACTTTGAATTTCTTCATTTATGAACAACGACACAGCTGGTTTGCTTCATTAAAAAGTTATCTTAACTCTTTGGTACTAAGGTAGTTCTCATTGTCTGACCTTGAGTTACAGATTGAACTGTGACTAAATGATGTTTTTTTTATATGTCTAGCTGAAGATCCAAAATGTGCATCTACGATTTGAGGATGACTTTTCCAACCCAGAGAAGCACTTTTCCTTTGGTGTTTGCATCAAAAATATATGTGCTCAGAACCCTTCCAGGGAATTGGTAAGTGTTAGTTGATTTCATAAAATCCAATCATTTGTTATATTCATGAGAACAGATGATACAGTAGTCCATTTGTTTTCTGTTCTTCTTGTAAGACTAGTTATTGCTACATAAAGATTTTCTGATCAAAGCAGTTCAAAAACACTGTGTGCATCATTGTAAACAAGTTCTTCCATTGCATACTGATTTATGTATTGACATTTTCACTTTATAGCTTAGCCCAGACCTGTAAACTTATTGCATCTCATACTATTGCTACTCTCAGTTTGGACTGGCAGCCATCATGACATTTTGCGGTTACAAACAGCAGCTGTAGCAATGAATGAGAACTAAGGAAATTGAAAAGACAAGAAGGAAATTACCTGTGTTTGTCTGAAAACAAGAACAACAAAAAAACATTACCATAAGACGTTCTTCTCATCTTCCTACAGCACCATAACCAACTCACCCCAACCAGTCATGACAGATGGCTGCCTTTGTCTGAGCCTGGTTCTGGTGGAGGTTTCTTCCTGATAAAAGGAAGTTTCTCCTTCCCACTGTCACCAAGTGCTTTTTCATAGAAGGTTATCACCCCATAGTTGGGGTTTTCTCTGTATTATTGTAGGGTCTTTAGCTTATAGTGTAAACATATATATTTGTATTAGAAAGTTTAACTGATGTGGATTAATATGTCATCTATTCTTGTTCTGATCATTCTCAGCCTCTTTCATGAAATGGGCAGTCATTACACAGGGATGTTCCTGGTGACTAGTCTGAAACTAAGAAACACTAAGATATTACTGCTTTATTATATATACTCAGTTACATCTGAGAACCGTTTAATGGAAAATGTCAAAAACTAATAACAAAGGCATTTTAAACTATTAAGGACATTCTTAATAATAAATCATGTTGGTGGCAACATTACACACAGCGTAATGTTGATAATGCACGACATGAGGTTTTGCACCGTTAAGTAGCAGACGAAAAACAATTAAAATAAACCAACATGTTACTATAAAAGATATCACTTGGTATTACTAAAATGTGATCAATTAAATTGCAACTGAAAAGAGTGGAGCATTATGCCGTGCATTATGATTCATGCGGTTTGAAAATTCATGACAACCACTTCCATGTAGGTTAAAATCTAAAATAATAAATCAATAAATCATCCAACTATTTTCTTCCGCTTATCTGAAGTCGGGCCGCATGGCAGCAGGAAAGCCCAGACATCTCTCTCGCCAACTCCTCTAGCTTATCCAGGGAAACGTCGAGCTATTCGCAGGCCGGCTGATAGATGTAATCTCTCCATCTTGTCCTGGGTCTACCCCTGGACCTCCTTTCGGTAGGCCATACCTGGCCGAAGCACCTTACCCGGGAGGTGACGGCCTTAGGTGTCTCATTTCGATCCAGGATGAGTAGTGGCTCTACTCTGAAACCCTGCTGAATGATTGAACTCCTAACCCACCTTTTGGAGAAAGTTAATTTCCGGGTATATCCGTGATCTCAGTCTGATAGGGTTAGCAAAAACAACAGGCCTAGATTAACAGATTTACGCCATTTTTCAACAACAGTGTGCCATCTCGTGGCAGATGTCTGCCTAATATTTAGGACAATAACTTACCGGCATTGGGCATCAATTCAAATTTGAACTATTAGATTAAAAGACTATTATGTCTGTTACCGATAGAGGTGGGAATCACCATACATCCCACGATACGATATTATCACAATACTTAACGCACGATACGATATTATTGCAATTTTTAAAAAATATTTTGCGATATTCAGATTCTGTACATAAAGGTAAACTTTATCAATATTCATTTTATCTGATATCAAAGTCTCGCACTCAGTCTTTCTCTCATTTCAGTCAGTTTTATTGTTGACAAACTGAACGGTTTGTATTACAGTCTAGTCCAACTTAACTGAATGCAACCATCTGGTACAATTATAGCTATTCTGAACTATGCAATTTATGAAAACTATGCAGCCCATTCAGCAACTGAAGAATTTGAAAGTAAATTAAAACAAAATATAATTTTACATTAAATAAAAAAGTTTTAAACGTAATTAAAATAAAACATGTCTTAAATTAAAATAAGTAAACAGTCATGTTTATTGCTGCCAAAAATAAGTTAAACACATTTGGACAGTGAAGGAATGTCAGGATTCTTGCTCAGAAAAAGGATCAACATGCTCTGAAGTCAGAGCACAAGAACCTTTTGTGTAACAAAATATCGATTTCTGCTGTCCCTGTATCGATACATTATTAGCAAACAAAATATCATGATACTACACAGTATCGATTTTTTCCCCCACCCCTAGTTACCGACCAGTGACAACACTGACAATTAGTCGGCTAGTCAACTAGACGTGCAGATGCCTAATCACAAGTCATCCTCCTTAATGCTGTGTTACATTAATGCAAAATTTCCCTTGAAAGCACTAAATACTGTTAACTATTTAAGTATTAAGTATTACTGATGAGCAGCAGAGTATCACAAAAAGAGATTCTGTGTGCCTATTCATTTTTTTCTGTGGAAAATTAGAAGCATTATCAAACACTTCCATTAAGAGCCATCAGTCTGTTAATCTGTCAGCTAACCCTGAGACATGCCCTAAAATGACATCAGTCAATCAGTCAGTTAATATCAGATGTGCATCACATTTACAAAAGAGGTTAGAGGGTAAACTGCTCCTTTTATTAATTAAGGACTTGGTTTGGTCTTTGGATTTGAGGTTAGTGGTGGTTTTCTTTTGCAGGTCCAGAAGCTCTTCAGACAAAAGCAGTTGGAGATCGAAGACTTCAGTGTCTACTGGGACACTGAGTGTGAAATGCTGGGAAAGCTGCCCATTAACCAGATCCAGGTCAGTCATAAGGTGAACTTGGTGGCAAATCACTGGAGTATTACAGCTCAGTTCTGAAGACCACCTGGATGGCTTGTCTTTAAAATTCAGTTCACTAAAACGCTGATAGAATGAACAACAATCTTCCAAAATACATTCACTCTTTTGTTTTGATGATGATGAAACGTGTTTGGGTTGTATCAAATAACTATAATTTCCATAGCATTACAACACATTCAAAAGACGTTTATTCTGATGACCATAGTCCTCTAGGGACCCAGATGATGCCCACAGCATCACAGGTCCACCTGATTGTTATACTGTGAGAATCAAGGGTTCATGATTTTCTTTTACTTTGCCACCCCTCTTTTTATAGTCCACCAGTTAGAAATCCTCTTGGATTCTGATCTGTGATTATACAAAGATAGATCAAAAGTAAAATTTTCTCAAAAGAGATACCCCATATGAGTAGGCTAATTGTTTTTCTAACTAACAGGATGCTATGAGCCAGTGTATGCAAAGCCGTGAGCATCAGTACATCTTTGAGCCGGTGTGTGCCTCTGTGCTGCTCCGAAGAAACACCTCCAAGGAGCCTTTGAGGTCCCGACACACCCCACGAATCGAAGGCCAGGTTCAGCTGGAGTCTATGTCTTTACGCCTTTCACAGGTCTGTATGAAAACCTAATGCCCTCTTTTTTTAAACAGTGACAACTGTTTTCGTAAAATTATATATGTGAGGGTTTCATATCCCCAAGGAATAATTTGAGGATCTCCATAATCCCACAGTCATGCTGTGGGGATGTATGATTGAAGCAGTGTCTGCCCATAACTGGGGCTGAGATAACTGATGTAGGTAAACAACTGTACAGTGGGCTCCTGGGATGGATAAGATTTGCCCTAAAAGTTCCTGAAGGCTCTGGATGTTGTAGGGCTGTCCTGGCTGACACGTTTCTGCAACGTTGTCTTGAGCGATACCTCTGGATTGGCATACTGGGTAGGTGGTTCCCCTGTTTCAGAAGAGGGACCAGAGGATGTGCTCGAACTAAGGGGATCATCTAGAGCTACCCTTTGTCACTGATTTTTCATAGTTTTTATATACAGAAAATCTAGGCATGGCCAGGTAGTGACCTCCAGCTTTTAGCGGAGTGATTTGAGGCTGAGCTTGAAGTGGTGGAAATGAGAATCAGCACCTCTTAAGTCTGAAACCATGGCTCTCAGCTGGAAAAGGATCAAGGAAAAGTTAGAACCCCAGGTGAAGGAGGTATCGGGGTCTTGTTCGCTAGTGAAGAGAGAGCAAAGCGTGAGATTGACAGATGGATTGGGGCTGTACAGATCTGTTCTGGTGAGGAAACAGCTGAGCATAAAAGAGCTGAGCTACTGGTCAATCTGCATTCCTCACCTGTGGCGCCAAGCTATGAGTAGTGACCAATGAGATCATGGATACAAGCGGCAGAAATGAGTTTCTGGGTAGCTGGGTTCTTCCTTAGACAAGAGCCGCTGCTCCTTCACCTCGAAATGAGCCAGTTGAGGTAGTTCAGGGGGGGTCTGACTAGGATACCTACTAGACGGCTCCTAGGTGTCCTACAGGGAGGAGGCCCCAGGGCAGACCCAGGACTCACTGGAGAGAATGCATTTCTTGGCTGGCTTGGGTACGTCTCAGTGTCCCACTGGATGAGCTGGAAGAGGTGGACTAGGTGAGGGAAGTCTGGGCTTCTCTGCTCAGGCTACTTGCCCCACAATCTGACCCCTGATCACCAGTAGAAAATGGATGTATGGATTTTCCATTGAAGCATTCCTTGTATCCTTAGGAACTGAACCTAATCTAGAGCTTTCACAGACCAAGGCTAGAATTTTGGATGATGTTTGTTGTCTGTGTGTCTTGCCTCTTAGGTGCAGTACCAGCAGATCATGGCCTTCCTTAAAGAGCTGGATCGCAGGGAAAGGGAGATGTTTTACAGAAAGTGGAGACCAAAAGTACCTATTTCAGGAAAGTAAGTTCACACTTAAAGGTACAGTGTGGAAGATCTCACTGCTGGATGTCAGTAGATTGCAGACTGCAGTCAACTGAATTCCGTTTTCTTACCTCTCTTGATTGAACTCCATAACACTAGCGACTGTAACCAAAGACATTTTAGCTTTTGAGTTATAAACTATTACTTTCTCTTAAAAAGTTGATATTTGCGAATAGGAAATCAGGAGGTGAAATTAGTTTTTTATGACAAAAACATGAACCTTTGTAATCGGATTACTTTATCCCTATGCTGGTCACGTTGTCCCTTTCTTTCATGTTTTGCTTCTTTGGTGAAGGACACTTTGTTCGATGATAAAACATAGATGTGATTCTTGATAGCTTGATTTGAAGGTATATCTTGAAGGTGTACACTCAAATCAAATTTGCCCCCACAGCACACGAATGCCTACAAGTTCTTTTCTCCACCTGTGGTTTACTGTGTATCTGCCTGGCCCGTAGCTACATGCAGACACACAAACACTGATCACCAAACTTCCAGCCTCTGATCCAGCATCCACTCTGCTCCGCCTCAGTCTGCAGCTGCCTCTCCTCAGCTCTGCTGCTCAGACCTGAAACTATTTGGGTGGCTGTAGCTCAGGTGGCAGAGCAGGTCAGCCACTAATCAGAAGGTCGGTGGTTCGATCCCAGGCTGCCTCCTGGCTGCATGCCAAATATCCTTGGGCAAGATACTAACCCCATGTTTGCCTACTGGTGGTGGTCAGAGGGCCCGGTGGCGCCAGTGTCCGGCAGCCTCGCCTCTGTCAGTGCGCCCCAGGGCAGCTGTGGCTACAATGTAGCTTGCCATCGCCAGTGTGTGAATGTGTGTGTGAATGACTGAATGTAGTGTGAAGCGCTTTGGGGTCCTCAGGGACTAGAAAAGCACTATACAAATGCAGGCCATTTACCATTTGGCCATGGAATTTCCTCTTTATTTCCTCGGATTAGTTTTCCACACTCTAAAGTCTCTCCTGAGTTCAGCTACCGTAACCCCGCTGCTCAGAACAGTCAGTAACCCAAGTGTTCAGTCACATTCTCCCCGCTCTGCTACGGGTCAAAATAATGTCTGTTTTTTCCTTTACCAGTAGACTTGATAACATGCTGTACTGTATTTTAATACTCGGGTTGTTGTTTAATAAACCTTTGAAATCATGCAGCTGCCGACAGTGGTGGATGTTTGCCATCCAAGCCAACCTGAGTGACATAAACGAGCAACGGCGGCGAGGCAGTTGGGACTTTGCCCTGCAGCGCGCCCGGGACTCCCTAACCTACACCAGCCTCTACTTCAGAAGACTCAAAGGAGTTCCACTGAGTCCTCAGGAAGAGGTACTTCAGTAAGAGAAAGACGAGATGAATAATAAGCATTCAGTATAACATGTTGCTAATATGAAAAGAAAAAATCTATTACTAATAAAAACTGCCAAAAGTACACAGTGTTGAGTATTTTTGAATGATGGCTAGATCCCTTAACAGATACTCCTGTTGCCCACATCTGTACCATTTTCTATAGATAAGAAAGATATTTTTGTATACAATCCTGCTTAGCTGAACAGTGATGGCATGAAAAGTGTGTGAAATTGTTGGATTTGTTTCCAGCTAAAACACATTAACCTCATTATCTTCTTAGATTCACTCTTGTTGTCTGTCCAAGTGCATGGATAGGAAGGCAGTTAATTTGTACTGTACTGATCTTTCAAGATTATATTCTTCTGAGAACATTTCCCTGGACTTTTTCATCTAGAGTGAGCTGGAGCGGGTTGAGGAGGAGCAGACTTTTGAAGAGCTGCAGCTTCTCAGAGAAGTTGTCCATGAGTGGTTTCGAAAGCAGGAAGTAATCGCAGAGGTATTCTCAGGTTTTATTCATTTTAAACAAAAAACACATTATTGTGTCATTTCCCAGCCTTACGTAAATGCCTTTCAGATATTGTGTTGTCATTAATCACCCCCACCCTTAAACTAGTCAGCCTACAAGAAATGCAGCCATCACTCCTCAGACGGTCATTGATCGTTGTGAACGTTCCAGTCATCTTATTTCCGTGTCACCTCTGTCAGAATGCACGTGAGCCCAGCAGTGAGCCCCAGACGTGTTCATCTACAACATCTGTTCCAAAGAGCGGGAGTTCAGGAATGATCCAGTACCTACAATCGTGGTTCCCAGGCTGGGGGGGCTGGTATGGAGAGTCCCAGGATCCAGATAGGCCACAAGAACTCCTGCAAAGTCCATCCTCTTGGAATATTCTTGGTGAGCTAGGCGATCGTGGTACCTTTGACAAATGCCAGCTGCGAACAGTTTTACATCTATTTTTCATCTGTATGTAAACTCTAGTTGTGGTAGTGCACACATGTCTTGTGAAACAATCTTCTGTTTAAAATAATGTAAACGTTTAATATTTTTCCAGCAGAAACAGAAGACTTGTTCGACCCCTTGGAGGACTCTCACACTTTGAACACTTTCACCAGGCGAGATCATTTGTTTGGCCGGTTGGAGTTCTTACTGGAGAAAGGTGGAGTCACCCTCTTCCACCAGGACAAGTGCGGAGACACGCTACATGAGAGTGGAGTCATACAGCTGGAATTCTCTGGTATATCAAAGCAGGAATTGTGTCTTTTAAATGTCTAAACTCAAGCATCTCAAGTGAAAAACCAGAGTATTTGCACGTCTAATCTGCTGTGTGTGGAAGAGTTGGATTGAGGAGGCCGTGCTTTGGTTAGATTTATTAGAGAACCATTAATACTCTCTCAATGATGGTAATTTTTCAACTTCTTCCACTCGGGCAGTTAATCAACCCTAAATGGACCCAGCAGCTCTGATAAACTGTAACATGTTTGTTCACTTGTTTTGTGGCTTCATTCACCTGCAGGATGCAGGATGGAAACATAGTTGAATACAGTCTGCATTGAATATCAAGAGAGGGGGGTACCCTGGGTGAACAAATTCAAGTCCCCCTAAAATATTTTAGTTGAGATGGATGATCTCACGTAAAACATTAATGTCCTAGCCTTACAGATAAGGACCTGTTAGAGACATAAGAAACCAGCCAGTTAAGAGTCACATGACTGATGCCATCAAAGTCTTTGTTCCAACAAGTGACTGATGTTCACAATCTAGCTGTAGTTTAATCTACCTACAGCTGTTTTTCCCATAGACTGATGGGAAAATGTAATAAACTCAAAACCTGTGCACGTCTGTTAAAATCCAAATGACTGTAACTGTTTCCACAGGGGTGAAAGTGATGGTGGAGTCTCTCCCTCGCTCAGAGTCCTCCTTATTGTCTGTAAAGCTGGGAAGTTTGTTCCTTCGAGACTTGACCACTCAGGGCACCATCTTTCCTGTCCTGGTGTCGCCCAAAACGGTAAGCAGTGATGGCAGAGCAGGGAGTTCATCACATAAAAATATTGAAAAAGTGGATTGCAGTTCCTCAAACACACAGTTAATTATATTTTGCTGTTACATGTTATAGGGGAACGTTGTTGTTGTAGCTAACCAGTCATCGAGCCAGTCCAGCACTACTTCTGGTAAGATTTTTGTTTTGTGTTAATGTTAATGACCAATTACAGTTATGAAGTAAAGTTTTATGGAAACGGAATAAAATAATTGGTTCGCTGAGCTTGTGGCCATGCTGTATGTGGGTGAGTATTAAATTGTGCACAAATGGTTGGGGGAAGTTTTTAAATTCAGTGTGTCGATATTTGTGTCCTGCCAGTGGATTAATTTAGACCATCTCATAATTTAGTCCGGAAAAATAGTTTGCTGCTTTTATTAAAAAAGCCCTTTGTAAAGGTAGAACGTCTTACTTTTCATCACTAATTGAAGAAAATAAAAGCAACCCTAGGTTCCTCTTCAGCACTGTAGCCAGGTTGACAAAAGGTCAAAGCTCTGTTGTGCCAAGCATTCCTTTAACCTTAACTAGTAATGACTTCATGAACTTCGTCAGTCTTTTGCAGTCTTCTTCCTAGAAGTCCTACTATTAATTAATGTTTCAATCTTAAATATGATCAACCTATTTCGATTAATCCACTGTGTACCAAATGTACCAAAGATCTTCAAGCTGGCAGTATTTAAACTGTTACTAAAAAACCCATCACTTGACCCTTCTCTCTTAGCTAATTACATTCCAATCTCCAACCTTCCCGATCATCTGCAGAGGAAAGGTTTATTTGAGTTTCAGTCAGGTTTCAGTACAGAATGTGGTCTCTGGGTGTGGATTCATCGTTGTGCTTATTAGAGCATACTGTAGGTATTACAGGAACTGTGCTATAGTGGTTTGAATCATATATGTCTTCTACTTTGATAAAGTGTATAGTTAGAACTGGATCAAGTGACCCTGAACCCCCTCTTAGTTACACTGCAATAGGTCTAGGATGATGGATTGATTGATGATATTTATCCCGAGGGAAATGCTGAGGGATTTCCACAATGCATTGAGTGTTTCTTCTTCATTCACCTTTTTCACTCACTGTGTTTATACACCACTCTGCATTAATTATTATTAATCTCTGGCTCTCTTCCAGAGTGTGTCTTTGTCCTGTCATTCATTGCCCCAACCGATCATGGCAGATGGCTGCCCCTCCCCGAGGCTGGTTCTGGAGGTTTCTTCCTGTTAAAAGGGAGATTTTCCTTCTCACTGTAACCAAAGCATTTGGTTGTATTAATTTAACTAATCTCTTTAAATTACAGTATTAAGCACCTCAAGGCGGCTGTTGTTTTGATTTGATTTGGTGCCATATAAATAAAATTGAACTGAATTGAATGTCGTCTGTGAGATGGTTATGAGTAACTTCTTCTCCAAAGAGCAAAATTTTGTTTGTGGATAAATTCATAAAGCTGTTGCTATTTAAGGTTGCTAGTTAAGATTTAAAGGATTGATTGGTTCAACAGAGCTCTTATTTTTTTGTGAGCATGGCAACCGTGCAGAGAGAAACCTAGGGTTGTTCTCCTTTACACAGTATCCAGAGTCATATGCAGTGAAGATGTAAAGCTGAGATAATCAGCCTACATGTGAGAGCAGAGTTCAGGTTGCTGTTCTGTTCTGTGTTGGCTCATGGCAGTGAAGAAAATAACAGTAGAGGAATTGTATTCTTAAACTTAGTTGCAGCACTTTCAGAAAGACACCTGCTGTGATGAAACTTATCACCCACTGCTGTGTAATGGAATTGTGCTTTTATTGCATACTACCAGATTTGAGTGACTATTTCCTTTTTTAACATAACGCACTTGAGAACACTTTGTTTGTTATGTTTCTGTCAGGATGCAATGTGGAATGCGTTTCATGCCCAGTGTTTGAGATGATTTACGAGCGTAACCCTGTGAGGTGCAAGTTTGAGAGAAGACTGGAAGTAAACACTAGTCCACTGAACATAATCTACAACCCACAAGCAATAAAAGAAGTGATTGAATTCTTTTATAAGGGAAGAATTCACACCTCGGGTAAGTATATTTAAAGTGGATTTTATACCTTGCTGGTTTTCCTCTGTAGCATGTTTTGCAAGCACTGAGACCAGAAATGTGTTCTGCGTGAGTGGTCATGTGATATGCAATTACAAGCAGAGTTGACTGAATTGAGACTGTTTAAAAACAGTTTACTGTTTAAATAAATGTCTTTCAAACCCAGGTTTTGGGTATCAGTCAGAACTGGAGCTGAGAGTGGCAGAAGCTGCAAGGAGGCAGTACAACAAGCTGAAAATGCAGACCAAGGCAGAAATCCGACAAACCATCGATCAGCTGCTTGTGGGAGAGTTCATTGTAAGAAACATACTCTGAATTCAATTATATTTTTCAGTCAATTCAGTTTATAGTGTCAAATCACAACAACAATTGCCTCATGTTGCTCATGGTGGTATGAAAAAGTTAAATCACCATTAAATCTTACTCATGTCTGATTCGTAGGAGAACAGTAAGCGCTGGACAATGAAATTGGACATCTCTGCACCCCAGGTGATTTTTCCTGATGACTTCCAGTCAGGAGACCCAATGCTTGTTGTTGTTGATTTAGGCAGGATTCTACTGACAAACTCTCAAGGTAAATTAGCCATTTCACTAATATGCCTCAGTGTCTTTGTTATTTTTCCCACTGTTAAGAGTGATATCTGACTTACCCCTGCTATTGTATCCATTGTTTTTCAAGATGACAATAAGTCCAACTCAGTGGCTACTCAGCCAGAAAGAGAAAACATAAGTGATGATGAGTACCAGACTCCTCTTGCAACCCCACCAGAATCTCCCCCACCTGAACTCGATGTGCCTTTGAAAGCACAGGTGAAATACCCTGAGTTTACAAGCTTCAGGTCTCTGGAAGGTACTCAGGCCTACAGACAAAAGCTTTATGAAAAATATTCCTTGTCCTTTAAAGACCTCCAGATAATGGTTGGTCGCTATAAAGACAACTGGAAGCATCTTCAGGAGAGTGAGGTAGGGCCTACACACGTGGTGGAGAAATTCAATGTGCTCTTGCAGCTTGAGCAGAGACTGCGCTACACATCTGACCCCCAGCTCCCCGGTGCTGTGCTGTCAGGAACCCTACCAGACCTCAAGATCCATATGAACCTTGAGAAGATGACTGCTCTCAGGAGTTGTCTGGCTAGACTAAACAGTCCAGCTGTAAATGAAGGAAACAAAGGCCAAGAGAAGAGTCAGACTGTCAGACCTTCTGATCCTCTTACCCTCCGCCATGAAAAGATATTTCAAAGAGAAGAGAGCTCATGGAAGCTGCAGGGTTCAGCCAAAAATCTTACTCAGAGCGTGATGACATTGGAGCAGCATACACGTGAAGTCTTGGTGGAATCCCGTCTACTGTTAGCTGAATTCAACATTAACTACATGCAGCTTGGTGTAGAGAGTGATGGGCGGTACATATCTGTTCTTAAAGTGTTTGGCACAAATGCTCATTTTGTCAAGCGACCATATGATGCAGAAGTTGCTCTGACTGTCCATGGTCTTCTGCTGGTGGACACCCTACAAACTTACGGCTCAGACTTTGACCTCCTTGTTGCTTCTCATAAGCATCTCAGTTTTGACATACCCACAGGCAGCCTAAAAGAAAGCCAGCCATCGTCTCCTGTTTCAGCTAATGGCAGTTCTCCTCCACATCAGCAAAGCTATACTGAGCAGTCTTCTCACCTGCCCTCAGATGGACTCTCCCCCTTCAGTTCCTTTTTCAAAGACCAAGAAGCCCTGATTAAGCTTGAGTACCAGTTTGTCAGCTCAGACTGCCCCTCCATGAATTTGGAAAGCTCCCTTCAGGTTACAAGCATGCAGGTTAATAACCTGGATATCATTCTCAACCCTGAGACTATGGTAGAACTGCTCAAGTTCCTACAGAAGTCTTTCCCCAAAGAAGAAGGCACCTGGACGTCACCAGTGCAACACGATAAAGCACAACAACATACAGAACAGGACTGTGGTGAGGAACAAGATGGGATATATCAGTCCACCTATGACCAGAACAAAGAACTGACTGTGGAGATCCATCGCCTCAACCTGCTTCTCCTCCGTACAGAGTCTACCAGCACTGTTTTAGGTACTGAGAAGAAGGGTTTGAAGATTGCCACTGCCAGCATTACTGGTACCAAGGTCAATGTGTCCATGGGTAGCCGGTTGGACATTAATGGTTCACTTGGATGCATGCAGCTGGTGGACCTAACCCAGGAGGGAGGCCGAAGCCAGTTTGTGGTCAGCATCGGTAGTGTTGAAGACTGCTCCCCAAGTCTTGATGGATTAACATTCCTTCCCAATACAGGAGAACGTTCTCCTGCAGAAGCTTTGAATTTCCGCCTTATGGAGAAATCCCAAGGAGAGTGTTCTTTGAAACTTCAAATGGCATCATTGCACTACAACCACTCAGCTAAGTTCTTAAAGGAACTCAGTCTGTCAGCCAATGAAGTAGAAGACAATTTCCGCTCCATGTTGAAAAGAGCTGCCACGAAAGTGTCAACAGTTTTAGCTAACAAAACAGCAGAGTATAGTGGGATGGTGTCACTCTTTGAGACGCCGTCACGGAAAATGCGATCTTTGAGTCAGAGCTGGGCCTATCCGTTTGAGGATGAAGAGGACGTTCCCATGGAGGAACCTGAATCCACTTTAGATACATTCTTAGTAAAACTGACCCTCAACATTAGCATTGAATCACCAGTTGTGTCCATTCCCCGTAAACCTGGTCACCCAGAACTCTTGGTTGGTCACCTGGGAAGCATAACAATCCAGAATTTTGTTGCTGGGCAAGACTCAGAAAAAGAAAGGTTGCAGGTGTTGGTGAAGGACATTTGCCTCTATTCACTCAACATGAGTAATTTAGTTGTGAAGAGGCTAGGCAAGGGGGTTAATGCTGGCAGCGTGTCACCAACTCGCAACAGGAGCAACACTCAGGATGGACCACAGTTCACACGTCATGACTTCTTTGAATCCTTAAATGATGGAAAAGGTGAGCACGCTTAAAATTTCTAGGATAGTTGTATTTCGGATGGCAGATTCTCTCCATGGTAATGCAAGTATGTTCATATAATTTCTTTCTTTCATTAGCTTTCCATATACTGAAAGATACAACTATACAGTTCACCCTGGAGAAAGTTCCTGTTGATGGAGATGCACAGTTTACTCTCCTCACCACAGAGGAATCCTTCAAGAGCACAGGACTACTGAGAATTGAGGGCAAATTTGTTAATCCTGTTAAGGTATATAACATAACTATATATGCATTCTAAATATAAGTCACTATTCGTGAATGAAGGACTGGTTACTATGGGGTGGCTGTAGCTCAGGTGGCAGAGCAGGTCAGCCACTAATCAGAAGGTCGGTGGTTCGATCCCAGGCTGCCTCCTGGCTGCATGCCAAATATCCTTGGGCAAGATACTAACCCCATGTTTGCCTACTGGTGGTGGTCAGAGGGCCCGGTGGCGCCAGTGTCCGGCAGCCTCGCCTCTGTCAGTGCGCCCCAGGGCAGCTGTGGCTACAATGTAGCTTGCCATCGCCAGTGTGTGAATGTGTGTGTGAATGGGTGAATGACTGAATGTAGTGTGAAGCGCTTTGGGGTCCTTAGGGACTAGAAAAGCGCTATACAAATGCAGGCCATTTACCATTTACTTCTAAACACATAAATAGAAAACACAGACTGGTGGTTTTTGCCTTTACAGATCACATAGTACATTAAGGAAAGCACAACAGTGCTTGCACATCAGTATTACAACAGAGCTGGGCCCAATTTCACTTTTTAACATAAATGCTGTCCTTACAACAATTCAAACCTGTACTTTACCTTTCTTTCTTTAAACTACTGTCAGTAGATGTTTCTGTAAAGTGTCCTTCACATCAATACTGAACAAAGAACCATGAAGTAGAACATTTTGAATTCCTTATAGTTGGAAAAATCTGTATTTCTATAAAAGAAAAATTCTAAACAACAGTAGTCTGACAATTACTGAATATTAATGTGTGAGAAGTGTAAACTATATTTAAACTAAATTTATAAACAAGATTACAAAAATAACACAGATAGCTTGATTTCCTCCATTAGTTTCTGAGCTGGTCTGTAACATGTAGTAAGTCATGTAATTTATCATATACAAAAGTTGCACCAACACAGAAAATGTTGGTCTAAAGGTCTAGTTCAGAGACCTGAGCTAAAAGCTGTGGACATCTATGAAGCAGTATTATGACCACAATAAGAAACAAATATAGCATTGATCATTTTAAAATTAAAGTGAAAGTGGAAGTTTGCCTAGAAACAGCTGTAATCTCCACATTTTGAGTTTTTTCTTAAAATAGAATTTCAACTTTATTCTCAAATTGATCTGTATTTGTTTTTTTCTTAATGTGGCCATAATACTCTGTCGTAGACACCAGATTCCCCAAACAACTGATTTAAAAAATTCACCGCCCATGCATGTTTTTAATATAGAGAAAACTATACATAGAGACAAAAAACATTTTTTATTGTAGGCTATAACACGCTGCTGTAGAGTTGTGCATTTTAAGATAAAAATGGAATTCAGCTGCCAGCCACTCGTGTAACTGCAGTTTGTGGCACATCTGCATCATTTATATTTTTCAGAGGTGGAAAGGTGGAGAGTATTTTGGATTAATCTTCCTAAAATATACTTGTAAAAAGTTAGGAAGTAAGACTTTTGTAATTAAAAGCAATAATTTAAAAACCACAGTTTTTGTTTAGATGTAACTACCTCTCTTTTTTTCTAGATTTTAAAGATACAAATTTTAAACTGACTCTATTACTTTAATAATTTTGGCTTATCACAACATCACATGGTTACACCAAGACTAGCTTGACTGGCTTCACCTTTCCCTTTTGAGAATACTTTATTCCAACACAGCTGCACCATCTTCTGCTTGAGATGAAGTCGGATATAACATGCGATGGCTGTGCAAGTCTTACTGCTGGGTTATTAATTGCTTTAACATTTCATTCTGGTGACAGGTGTTCCTGTGCAAGCCTGTGTATGAACAAGTCCTCCAGACACTGGACAATTTGTCTCTGACTGAAGAGCAACATGTTACACCGAGCCAGCCGCCCACACCCCCACCACCAACACCTTCCTGCACCAAACCTCACCGCTTTCCCGACCCCCAGGGAGGAATGTTTGCAAGGGACCCTCCTCACTTCAGCTTCTCTCACATGTCACTTTCATCTCCTTTGCCTCTACAGTCAAACAAACATACAATTGACTCTTCCTCGTTCACTCAGCTAAAAGTCACCTTACATGTGGCAGAATTGCAGGTTCATCTCAGTGCTGATCTAACACAGGGGTCCCAGGGCTTAGTCAGTTTGCGCTTCCAAGATTTGGAGGGAGACTTTACCAAGGATCACCCTCATTTACTGGAAATCCAGCTGGCTCTTCGTTCCCTGCTCATGGAAGACCTTTTGGAGCAGAATCCCGAGTCCAAGTACAAACATTTGATGGTGTCGCGTGGAGCTCCCAAACCTTCCACCTTTAGTCCAAAGGAGTACCTTTCTCAAAGCTGTCCGTCAGCATCTAATGCTCTGTACCCAGTCATGCCTCGGTCACTGCCCGCTCACATGGAGGAGGCTCAGAATGTCTTCCAGCTGTACCAGAGGCACCCCAGCAACCCTTCATCTAGCAGTCGCAAATCCAAGAGGGGCCCGGACTGTCCCTGCACTCCTCCTCCTTCTCCGAACCACCACACACCCTCTCCTAACCCACCACCAGATTTTGATGAGTCATTAGTCCATATCAGTGTACAGCTGGTTGACCAGAACCATCCAGAGTTCAGAACGCGTTATGGGAGCGTAGGCCGAAGTGTGGACGTTGACTTTAACTGCCTGGACGTCTTGATCACGCTGCAGACCTGGGTGGTTATTCTGGACTTTTTTGGTGTTGGCTCTACTGCCAATAATCATGCAGTCAAGGTGCCTGTGACACCCCAGCCCGCGCCAGGAGAGCCTCTCTATGAGCCAGACAGCAGTGAGAAAGACAAAAGAGAGCCTGTCAACACCAAAGTCGACCTAAAGGTATGTCACATAGCCTGCTAAAAGTTATCAGACCTTATGCTGAATGCATATGGATTCAATAATTAAGAGATCCTGTATGAAAATATAGTCTGTTTATCATTGATGCAGGCTACATTGCTCTAAGGATAGCAATGTAAGGCTGTCAGATACAATTTTAGTGGTTTGTCCTTTAATTGGGCTCACCTGCCAAACGAATGATCATAGGTATCCGAGATTAATTTCAGTGATACAAAGAGCCCTGAGACACAATTCCATCCAAGAGTTTAATTGAAAAACAACTTATTTGATCTTTATGCCACTTAAACACAATTTGCATAATAATTTGGAATGTGGTGTACAGCATGTAGTCAAGTCAAGAACGTACTTAACAGGTAGGTGTATTATTTTCAAAGTCTGCAATCAAGAGATAGCATAATAATTCAAGAACATAAACTTCTGTCACGCTGCTAGAAATAAAAAAAACAGAAGGAAAAGAAGGACTTTGTAGCACAATGATAATAGGCGAGGGGGTTGCTGGGGAAAAACAGGGCTTATGATCTAAAGCATACCATGTCATTTGCTAATCATCTAGTAAACATACTAGCAAATTCATCAAGTGTTGGTTCATAACAGTCAGTCATGCTGTGAACCAACCGGAGAGACCTCCACAGTGGAGAGATTACACCTGGAACATATAGCCTTGCTGCAACCCTGATAATCACACATGAATACATGGGAGTGAACTAGTCGCATAGGCTAAAGCAGCAGAAGACCATGCCGGGTGCCACTCCTGTCAGCTAAGTAGGGGGTTAAAAACTGAGGCCGCAGTTTACAAGGGCTCTCCAAAAATGGTCAGAAGATTTGGGGGAAAAAAATGTTGGTCTTATGAGTTTCAGTTTCTCCTGCAAGATTTGGATTGTAGTCACAATTTGATCCATCCTACGTTTTATCATTGGTTCAGGTTGGCGGTAATGTAATGGCTAGATACTTTGAGCACCTTTGGGCTCTTAGTGCAACAGGAGAATTAAAATCATGGATGCAGGCAAAACATTTGCAGTAACTGTGTGATGATGTCATATCAGCATGGACATGGATCTCTGAGGAATGTTTTAAACACTTTGTTCAATCTGTGTCAATAAGAACTGAGGCAGTTCTGAAGGTGAAATGGGGTCCACCCTACTACTAGCAAGGTGTCCTTGATAAAAGTGGCTGGTGAGTGTAAAGTGGCAATTCTGAAGTGATTTTTGTATTGCTAACCCCTTTCCGTGTTTTCATTCATAGGTTCATTCTTTGTCTCTTGTACTGAACAAGAAACTCAATGAGCTTGCCAAAGCAAGTGTGTCCAAATTATCTGCTCATCTGGAGATGTTTGGTATGAATGAATCTTTTTTATTTTATTTTCCATATTGTAAAAGCAAAAAAACAAACTGTGCATATTCAGATTTTATCTTATTACTATCGATTCACCAAAATGTATATTGTTGTTATATTTTGTCTGGTATTTCAGATGGTGACATGGCATTACAAGGAGCTTTAGGAAGTTTGTCCCTGAGTGACCTGACCCCACATGGTGATCTCTACAGAGAGCGTTTCACTACACAAGGAGGGGAGGCACTGATCTTCAATATTCTTAAGTATGTATCACTGCAGTGCTCGAAAGACTGTTCCTCTGTGCTAAAGGAATTAGAAGTATCGTGCTGTTTTTAGTCACCTGTGTGCTCTGTTCTCCTCAGGTATGGCCAGCCTGACCCCGACCTGGAGCGGGAATGTGACATCAAGGTGTCTTTGCAGATGGCGTCAGTGCATTACGTGCACACACAGCGCTTTCAAGCTGAGGTGGCAGCCTTCATCCAACACTTCACTCAGCTACAGGATGTGCTAGGCCGGCAGCGGGCTGCAGTGGAGGGCCAGCTTGTGAGTGCTGTCTGCTAGGGCTGCCGTCATGGAAAGAAAACAACATGATTTCTTTAGGCTGTAGTTTTTACAAACCAAATGTTAGTGAAGTTGGTGTCATTGCCTGTAGCCCCTTGTAAAGTTATGCATATGTTCTCCAGGCTGCATTTCATTTGGTTAGATGTAAAGACTCTTAACCAAGGAAAGACTTCAGTTGTCCTCTGTGGTCTTCAGGCCGTTTAGTGTTCTTGAGAAGGTTCGTTCCTTCTTTTGGAGAATGGACCACATTGTCAATTTGACCACTGCTAAAGTGGCACAGTTCACTCTTGGGCAGAGCAGGCTTTGTCAGTAACTACACTTTGCATGACTTTTTTTAATTGGAGGGGCACTAAATAAGCACAGGTGTTTACTTGTTAATTTTTTAATTAGATTGTGTTTTTCCATTACATTTCATGATAAATCACTGGAGAGATTGTGCTAACCAGTGGGGGTTTTGTTGCATATTGCTCATTCCTTCCTCCCTGTGTCTGTCAAAAGGTACGAGATCAGCCTCAGAGGGCATCCAGACTCCTGCTGGATATTGAGGCTGGTGCCCCAGTTATTCTCATCCCAGAGAGCTCCTGGTCACCAAGGCTCATTGTAGTCAACCTTGGTCAGCTGAGGGTGAAGAACCACTTCCTTCCTGCAGGGGCGTATGGGACTTTTTCCCTCAGAGACAAGGTAGAGAAACTGACCATGGCACATGCCTTTTTCCCTTCTCTGGTGAGTCATGCTTCTGGTTTCATCCATGCATGGAGTGATGCCTGCGCCCCATTTCTCTTCCAGTCTTTTCTAATTTCACCACATTTATTATTATTTAAATTATACGTTTAAAAAAAACAACATGTCACTTCACACACTAATGTACTATAAGTTAGTGATTGTCAAGTGTAGTTCAATTTCTGATTGGCTTTGGTGTTTAACCAGCTATTATGATGACTGTGTGCACATCATCACTGTTTTTTTGGAATGATGCTTATCTACCTGTGTGTGTGTGTGTGTGTGTGTGTGTGTGTGTGTGTGTGTGTGTGTGTGTGTGTGTGTGTGTGTGTGTGTGTGTGTGTGTGTGTGTGAGAGAGAGAGAAGAATTAAATCCCAGCAAATTCAAAAACAAGGATCTGAAATGGGACAATGCTTTTGATGTGGAAACAGGTTGTACTGTTTTTACAGTGCCACAAGTCACCATACTATAAATATCTGAATGATGATGTAAAGTAATGCCGATATGTCAATGGTCGGCATATATTACATACTCATTTGCCTCACAAAGCTGGTTGTACAGTTATTGTTACATGTTACACTGACTAAACAGAGGTTACTCCTCCTGTCATAAATGTATAACACAGGGGGGAAAAAATACTCTTAAGGACAAATACATGCTTGAATGTATAAGTTTAACTGTGACCTAAAGAGATCCACAGATTAAATTATATAAAAATAATTAAGAATATTGTATTGTATAACCCGCCTGAAGACACGTCTTTACTCCCTAGGATTTTTTTAAATTCTTTTTTTGGTTTGTGTCTTGTCTCTGTTTTTGTTTCAGTGTTTTTCCCCCAGTTTGCATGACACTTTGGTCAATCTGTGTGTTGTTTTTAAATGTGCTTACAAAGAAATAGACTTCACTTAAAAATTAACAATTGGTGTTACTAAATTTTAGGAATTATGTTAGATTTAGGTTATTATGATAAAGTATTTTGAAAATTGTATTTGTTTTTCGTGTATATTATTTTCTAAGCTCTTGGTAAGCTTTTCCACAGTCCCATCTCATAAATATATATGTAAAACAGTTTATAGTGTCTTTTGCTTTTAGTTATTTTGGCATTTAACAAAAATATGATTTACTATTTGTGTGTGTATGTAGAAATCAATTTTAAAAGTACTTGGTGTTCAACTATACAGCTCTTTTCTTTTTCTTTTTTTTTAAAGGAGCATGTCCAGAGTGCAGCAGAGAGGTGCAGTGATCAGGAGACGTGCAGAGTCTCCACATCCAGTTCGACCTCATACACAGGTTTCACCTCTGGGAGGCCACAAACCGTAGACACAGAGAAGACACCTGAGAAGGATGGCCCTCGCAGTTTAGGTCAGCATCTCTGTAGCTACTGTACAGTCCCAAAAAACAGTGAATGCAAATGCTCGTTAGCAAGGTGAGTAATTTCTGAGTTCTTAAAGCCCTCGATAAGGATGCACGGCCATTTCACACATCTCTAGCAGTCCTTGGTGTTTCATAGTGTTTGCAGGCCGTCATTTATGATAAGCTCTCTTAAGGTCCTACCACATCATTTTAATCTTGTTGAGGTCTGGACTTAGGTCTTAGACTGCATAACTTATGGCAAAATATCTCCACTTTCACCTCATCTATCCAAAGGACATAATAGAAGTCTTGTGCTTTGTTCAGCTGGAGCTTTGCAAACTTTAGCCCTGCTGCTGTCTTCCTTTAAGAGCGAGGAGACTTTCCCTAACTCCAAACAGGCCATATTTTCTGTAATTATACTGATATGAAACGTAACATTTAACATGTCAGTTGAGGCCTGTAGAGAAACAACATTGGACTGATTCCCATCATTCTGGTACAAGATTAATTTGTATCAGAATGATGGGAAGTGAAAAGAATTATGAAAGTAAGAGCAGCCAAAGGAAGCCATGTCATCTATTGAAGATGGTAAAGGCAGTGTTATAGAATTTGTCCAAAACACTATGAACCTAGCTGTATGTGGTGTGTCTTTATCCCCATTAGAAAACCATGTGTGCTTGTTGGACTGCATTGCATTGGACCTGCAGGAGATGGATATCTTTGCTGCAGAGCATTTGCCAAGTCAACCTTTGGACAGTGGTGGTAAACCTCTTGAATATTCAGACCTGGTCTTTCCTTCCTATTGTGTCCGTCGCACCGGAAACAACCTGCTGAAAGACTGCTGCCGCCTCGAACTTAAAGTGGAGCGCAACCTGGACAAGTAAGCCCTGCTTTTAAATGCTCATAACAGACTTTCTTTTCTTTTTTCTTTAGCAGTGGAAGCACCTTGAGGTGACTTTTGTTGAGATTTGGCACTAAATGAATAAAACTGAATTGAAGCTGAATTGAAAATCAGTTTTCAGGGCATATTTTCACTGTCCATCCATTATTTTTGTGTTGTTTTGCTCCCCTACCGTAAAATAAGTCAGTTATAACTCAGGGCTATTAGGCTCACGAGCACCCAACTTTGGCTTTGTTGGGTTCTCCTCCAACTTTGAAGGATACTGAAAAGTACAGGCTTTCAGTACATCAAATATTTTAATCCTACACTCATTGATATGCTGAAGTTTTAAACATCAGCAACTCTCACATGAATAATGGGATAATGTTTAGAGAAAACCTTTTTCTGTAGCACATGCTAGAATTGTTTCAGTATATGACCATACTCATAATCCAAACCTGGTCCTAACTCAGAGAGCTCAGCCATGTGGTACCCGACATGTCCATCCAAGGCAGCCTGTCATCGGTACACTGCTCTCTGGATGTGGACCACTACCAACTTGTCAGAGGGCTACTGGAAAACAACCTGGGAGAGCCTATTGAAGAGTTCCTGCGACCCTACAACCTGCAGGATCCCAGCACCTATGTGAGAAAGCACACATACGTACACCTGAGCAGTTTACAGTGCATTGTAGTACATTTTTAAATAAGGATATGTCATATATCCTACAAAATATAGCATTTGCTGGTTTTTGATGTCTTAAATACTGCAGAACATTTACTCATTTTAAAAGCTGTAAAAAGGAGGTGATGTAGAGCGTAAAGCTGACATTGGAAAGTGCACGGAATTCTTCAGGTGAGGCTACGTGGTGGGTAGTGAGGACAGCAACTACAATTATAGAAGATCTCATTGCCAGAATGGCAAAACAGATTAGCTCTTTTTTCATATTTCAGTTTGCAGACTGACTTTTTTCTCTCTCCCTAGACGGTGTTGAGTGGAGATGTTTATACCAACTTTTCATTCTTGTTGAACATGATGGATGTCAGTTTGGAGCTACTGTACAATCCCCAAAACAGTGAACACAAATGCTCACTAGCAAGGTAAGTCCTTTCTGACTTTCTATATAGAAGCATTTACAGCTATTTCACGGCTCTTTAACATATTTCGGGCTGGTGTTGTTGTGGAGGAGCTACAGCATTCCTTCACTTCACTGAAATTTGCAGGCAGTCATTTATGCGCAGCTCTCTTACAGTCCCGCAATAGCACTTCAGTCAGGTTGAGGTTTGGACTTTGAGTCATTGTAGCACCTTGTGGGCGGGGTTTCAGCCATGGTGTTATACAGCAGGTAACATAGGTATGGTCACCATTTTTCTAAGCAAATATATTTCTAAAGGTGCTATTTTCACCAGATGTCTGTAACAACCCATCCAGTCCACACATGCAAAGAAATCCAACCATAGATGTCCAAAAATTATGCGACGGAAATTTATTTATTTAAAGCATTTATTGGTGATGACAGTTTCAAGAAAGCTCCTGTATAGGGAAACTAGTCGAATGCACTCCTCAAGTGTGATTTTGGCCCATTCTTCCACAGAGTCTCCAAATCCTAAACTCTGAGCTTTAGCATTTAGATTTTCAATTAGATTCAGGTCAGCTGATTAGCTGAGCCATTAGAGCAGCTTTATTTTCTTTCTCTAAAACCAGTTGATTATTTTCTTGGTTGTGTGTTTGGGATCATTGTCCTGCTGAAATGTCCACCCTCATTTCATTTTAATGGCAGCAGATTTTTAACAGGAATGTCTCTGTACGTTTTCCATTCATCCTTCCTTCAGTTATATGAAGTGGTGTGTGCTGAAAAACAGCCCTACCTCCAGACTTCATGGTATGGTGTTTTTGGGGTGATATGCTGTGCTTTTAGACCTCCAAACATCTTAGCAGGCTATAGTTTCCCAGTATTTCACAGGCTTTCTTCAGCAATGGAGTTGTGCGATACAGGCCATGGAGATTGAGTGTGTTACTTGTTGTTTTCTTTGAAACAATCATACCTTCTGATTCAGGGTCTTTCTTAAGCTCTCCACAAGGGGCCCTTGGCTCTTGCACAGCTATTGCGATAATTCTTGGTGGATGTGGAAGGATGTGTGCCTCTGTGCAGTTTCTGTGTGTGTATCTGTTTGGCCAGTCTTGGGTCCCTCTGGGACATGGTTTAGAACGGTAACAACCCCGTGATGTAGGTGCTTAGTGGGTGGTTGCTAGCCTGCTCCCTGGTTCGGTCACTTAGGCCTCTCTGTTGTGAGGTGAGAGCTGCGGCAGGTGTCAGGCAGTTCTTGGGTGGCTGGTGTCTGGGGCCCCTTCCTTGGCTCATGCTGGGGACAAACGCTCATGCACAGACAGACACATTCTCTTGTATGTTTGTTTGTTTACCTCTTTTTAACTTGTTTTGTGACTTTTGTTGCCCCTTAGTATGTTTTGCAATAATAAGGTCACAAAGGTCTTGAGGGTCATGGCTTTCGTTGTCATGACCCCCTGTTCTGCGTGTGTTCAATACTTTTTCCGTGTCATTTCTCATTGCTAATTGCACTTAATTTATGGACATCTACAATTTGATTTCATTGCTCGTGTGGGTTGTATGGGTTGTTACCACATCTATTAAGAAATTCATGTTAATAGCACCTTTAGACATATATTTACTTCGAATATCGATGAGTGGTTAAACATTTATTTTACCAACTGTAGATTTCCTGCTGTGCTTGGGACCATTATCCTGATGGATGACCCGGTTTAATTCAAGCTTTTATCTGTGGGAGACGAGGCCTCACATTTGGCCCTAGAATTTTTGGTACTGAGGTTCGTTTGTTTGCCATTTTGGACACGTGACAATGTGGGATCAAGTGAACCCACATTCTCTAAGCCTGTGTAACCTCAGTTACACAGTTCATGCAGGCTGGCCAGTTACTCTCTGAGCGGAAGTGAAACTAAGGGTGCCTCAAACTGGAAATGGAGACTGTTTGTCTTCAGAGTAAATGCTGTGCCTAAGGAACCATGTTGGCTGCAGCACAAAGGCACAACTTTTATTTTGAGATCAATCTTCTTAATCTCTGGTTTGCGTCACTCTTTCTCAAGATGTACTACTGCTTAACTCGTAGTTTGCAGACAAACATAAAAAGCTACCGGCAACTGTGGCAGTCTGCTAGCAATCAAATCAAACACTTGGCGCTTTTCTGGTACAGTACCTTCTTTGCATTCAAGGTCACCTACCAAAAGCCAGAAACCTCCAAAAACCTCTGCCAGCCTGTGGGGGAATAGACATTTTTCCCTAGCAACTGGTGCTTTTATCATGTCCATTATGGTGGACAGTGCTTGAGATATGTGCACAGATTGTTCATGGTCTCCATACTTAGTGACTGCAAGTGGCTGCAATGTAGCCCATCACCGCTCTAGCATTAAGCTAACAGTTGGCATGAGGTGTGTTGATATGCTGTATTTGGTTTTCTCCAAACGTGGCACTGTGCATCATAGCCAAACTTCTCCAGAGAATTTTAAATCATTTGGTATCATTTTAGTTTGTGCACCAAGAAGAAACAGAAGCTATATGTCTTCTTTGATTTCCTAGAAACATCAGCTAAAAGTTGCAACTTGGGTTTGGTCATCTAATATTCGATGGATGAAAAACTGTGGTGGTGTTCGAGGGATTTAAATTGTTAATTTTTTTTACAGGGGAGTCTGAAACTATTCCATTTCACCCTTTTGTTTTTATTTTTCTTGCAAAGGTTCGACTTCCTTAAATCAAAGCTGCTCTTTGAGAGTCTCTCTAATGGATCCAAGTCTGTCAACCTGGTGTCTCATTCCCTGCTGGCATATGACACTCGATACACCGGGTTAAATAAAAGAGCCGGTGAAGATGATGGGGCAAGGCACAATGTATTTGATTGCATTCTCCAGGCATCCAAAACAGGCACCAACCGGGCATCCTTACAGCTTGAACTGCATTATAGGTAACACTGGAGAACATCTTTGAACTGGAAGAAGTGGACATTCTAGATAATGTTAGTCACTTACATTATGATCTCCCTTTCTACAGATCCACACGTGAGTCTTCCAGCTTCACAGTGGTCCTCAACAACCTCAGGGTCTTTCTCATCTTTGACTGGGTCCAGCTGGTACAGGACTTCCTGCAGAAGCCGACTGAGAAGATACCCAGTGATGCCAAACATCATCAGCGCTGGCCTAGTAACACTAGCACAGATTCAGGTTCCTGTACCATGGCCAGTACAATAGGAACTGTTATGCCAAAGACAGTCAAGAGTGGGGTAGTCACCAAGAGGTCCACAGTGTCGGTCACCCAGGAGCGCTGCCTTGAGATCAAGATCAACGTCACAGGTCAGACATGAAGAACAAAGAAAGAAAACTGTGTGTGCTCTTATATTGAAAAGTAGTCAAAGTGTGGTTGTTGGCACACCAAAATGTAGCTTAAACTTCAGATTACAGTGGCTACACACAGTACTGTAACTAATGCTACTAGCAGTCTAACAGGAACAAGTTTGTTGTTTTTTTTAAAGATAGTTTTATTTTTTAATGAATTCAGAAATACTTCCATTCAGCAGTTGTATTTTCACTGCATCTACAAATGAAAAGAACTGCAAAGAAAAGTGATTGATTTTCCTCCACTCATTATATGGAGCTAACTACTTCATAAGACTGTCCTTTAGTGCTTGTGACATATTGGGAAAAGATTGCTTGGTCTCTCACAGTCAGGGGAGAAATTATTTGAACCCCTACTGATTTTGTAAGTTTGCCCACCAGTAAAGAAATGGCCAGTCTGTCATTTCAATGATAGGTTTATTTGAACTGTGAGAGAAAAAGAAATCCAGAAAAATGCATTTTAAAAAAAGTTGTAAATTAATTTGTATTTTGAAGGAAATAAGTATTTGATCCCCCATCAATCAGCAAGATTTCTGGCTCCCATTTATATTTTATACAGGTAACAAGCTGACATTTGGAGCCTTCTCAGCTTGTTACCTGTATAAAAGACAGCTGTCCGTAGAAGCAATCAATCGACCTGCACCATGGCCAAGACCAAAGAGTTTTCCATGGATATCAGGGACAAGATTGTTGACCTACACAAGGCTGGAATGGACTACAAGACCATCACCAAGCAGCTGGGTAAGAAGGTGACAACAGTTGGTGCGATTATTCGCATATGGAAGAATCATAAAATAACTGCCAGTTTCCCTCGGTCTGGAGCTCCACACAAGATCTCACCTCGTGGAGTTTATAAAATAAGAACTGTGAGGAATCAGGCCAGAACTACTCGGAAGGCCAGAACTACTCGGAAGGAACTCCATCAAACATGGAGGTAGAAACATGCTTTGGGGTGTTTTTCTGCCAAAGGGACAAAACAACTGCATCACATCAAAGGGAGGATGGATGGGGTGATAATCACCTTCCTTTAGCCAGGGTACTGATAATGGGCCGTGGGCGGTTATTCCAGCATAACAATGATCCAAAACACACGACCAAGGCAACAAAGGATTGGCTCAAGAAGAAGCATATTAAGGTCTTGGAGTGGCCTAGTCAGTCTCCAATCCCAGAGAAAAGCTGTGGAGGGAGCTGAAGGTTAGAGTTGCCAAACATTAGCCATGAAACATCGATGAGTTGGAGAGGATCTGCAAAGAGGAGTGGGACAAAATCCCCCCTGAGGTATGTGCAAAACTTGTGTCCAACGACAAGACACGTATGACTTCTGCAGTTACCAAAACAGGTTTTGCTACGAAGTACTAAACCACGTTTTGCAAAGGGATCAAATATTTATTTCCTTCATGAAGATGCAAATTAATTTTTAACTTTTTTGAAATGCATTTTTCTGGATTTTTTGGTTATTGTCCTGTCTCTCACTGTTCAAATAAACCTGCCATTAAAATTATAGGCTGATCATTTCTTTGTTAGAGGGAAAACTTAGCTGTATACCCCATCTCCTTTACATGACGTGCTGTATTTCTCTCACAATCTTCATGCACAACTTAGTTGCTGTATACACTCCCATTTTAGAATGCTATGTTGTTAACAATTATTTTGCATAGTGTTAAAAAAACAGGACTTGCACATCGGGCAGTCACTGGTCAGACAACTAAAACCTTTTTTTTTTTTTTTACATTTATAGTTTAAAAAAAAGTCACATAATAACTTAAATCTCACTGAAGAAAAATATATTTGTGTAGCATTTCATCTCCTGCATTTGTAAATTATGCCAGGGCTTAGAAATATTTTGGGTTATCCTAAAATACCTGACCTGCATATTTTACTGAGTTTGCCATTTTAAATATTTGCCATTTGATTTACAGGAACAGAGTTTGTGGTTGTGGAGGATTCGTCCTGCCTGGATACCAATGCCATCATTTTAAAGGGCACCACTGTCCTTACCTACAAACCCCGTCTGCTGGACCGACCCTTCTCTGGCAGCCTGGCAGGAATAGAGGTGACAGCTGAGACTGCTAGTTGTTGTACTGCTGCTCATTTATCACAGTTCTTTTATTCAGTTCAAAGAGATGATGTTTAAAAATTAAAACTCATTAAATGATCTAATTGTGGTATTAGTATTATGGCTCTACCAAAAAGTTCATCTGGATGTAGCGCCTTCAGTGGGAGAAGTGGGGTGACCGTGGGTCAGGGGGGTGGGAAGCGTATCTGTAACTGGAAGGTCGCCGGTTCGATCCCCGGGCTCTCTGTCCTGGTCGTTGTGTCCTTGGGCAAGACACTTTACCCTACCGCCTACTGGTGTTGGCCAGAGGGGCCGATGGCACGATATGGCAGCCTCGCTTCTGTCAGTCTGCCCCAGGGCAGCTGTAGCTACAACCGTAGCTTGCCTCCACCAGTGTGTGAATGTGAGAGTGAATGAACAATGGCATGGTAAAGCGCTTTGGGTGCCTTGAAAAGCGCTATATAAATCCAATCCATTATTATTATTAAGTGTTTCATCACTTATCCACCCATCAGTAACAGTCAAAGAGGCTATTTGCATGAAAAGGGAAAGACAATCTCTGAATTGAGGAGGGGGCTTTAGGGTACATCTGTCACCATCTTACAATGCTGTGATTGCAACTATTCCCCAGCTCTCTGTGAATGGTACTCATGGACATTAATCAGTTGAGATTGATCAATGGTCTTTGATCAGTATTTGCTGATCAATGGTCATGATGCATATTAATGATCAAGAAACTACCTCACAGCACATTGTTAGTCAGTGGTGCTAGTTTCAGTCAATATACAGGGTGGGCCATTTAAATGGATAAACCGTAATAACATGGGAATGGTTGGTGATATTAAAGTCCTGTTTGTGGCACATTAGTATATGTGAGGGGGCAAACTCCTCAAGATGGGTGGTGACCATGGTGGTCATTTAGAAGTCGGCCATCTTGGATACAACCTTTGTTTTTTTCCAATAGGAAGAGGGCCATGTGACACATCAAACTTATTGGTAATGTCACAAGAAAAACAATGGTGTGCTTGGTTTCAACGTAACTTTATTCTTTCATGAGTTATTTACAAGTTTCTGACCACTTATAAAATGTGTTCAATGTCCTGCCCATTGTGTTGGATTGTCAATGCAACCCTCTTCTCCCACTCTTCACACACTGATAGTAACACCGCAGGAGAAATGCCAGAACAGGCATCCAGTATCCGTAGTTTCAGGTGCTGCACATCTCGTATCTTCACACCATAGACAATTGCCTTCAGATGACCCCAAAGATAAAAGTCTAAGGGGGTCAGATTGGGAGACCTTGGGGGCCATTCAACTGGCCCACGACGACCAATCCACTTTCCAGGAAACTGTTTATCTAGGAATGCTCGGACCTGGCACCCATAATGTGGTGGTGCACCATCTTGCTGGAAAAACTCAGGGAACGTGCCAGCTTCAGTGTATAAAGAGGGAAACACATCATCATGTAGCAATTTCAAATATCCAGTGGCCTTGAGGTTTCCATTGATGAAGAATGGACCCACTATCGTTGTACCCCATATACTACACCAAACCATCCCTTTTGTTGGTCCAACAGTCTTGGAGGGATCCATCCAATGTGGGTTAGTGTCAGACCAATAGCGGTGGTTTTGTTTGTTAACTTCATTCACATAAAAGTTTGCCTCATCACTGAACAAAATCCTGTTCCAATTTTTGTTTTGCCCATTCTGCAAATTCTGTGCGCCGATCTGGGTCATCCTCGTTGAGATGCTGCAGTAGCTGGAGTTTGTAAGGGTGCCATTTGTGAGTAGCTAATATCCGCCGAAGGGATGTTCGACTAATGTCACTCTCCAGTGACATGCGGCGAGTGCTACGCTGTGGGCTCTTGCTGAATGAAGCTAGGACAGCCACTGATGTTTCTTCATTAGTGACAGTTTTCTTGTGTCCACATTTTGGCAAATCCAACACTGAATCAGTTTCACGAAACTTAGCAAGCAGTTTGCTAACTGTAGCATGGGAGATGGGTGGTCTCGTACGGTGTCTTCCATTGAAATCTGCTGCAATGACCCGGTTACTGCGGTCACCAGATATCAACACAATTTCGATCCGCTCCTCATGTGTTAACCTCTTGGACATGTCAATGGCTGTGAACAAAGAGAAACTTGTAAATAACTCATGAAAGAATAAAGTTACGTTGAAACCAAGCACACCATTGTTTTTCTTGTGACATTACCAATAAGTTTGATGTGTCACATGGCCCTCTTCCTATTGAAAAAACAAAAGTTGTATCCAAGATGGCCGACTTCTAAATAGCCACCATGGTCGCCACTCATCTTGAGGAGTTTGCCCCCTCACATATACTAATGTGCCACAAATAGGACTTTAATATCACCAACCATTCCCATGTTATTACGGTTTATCCATATAAATGGCCCACCCTGTACAAATGTTCTGTTTATAAGAATGAGGAAACCAGCATTCAGCTGAAACTGCAGAAGTAACTTGGATGAGTGAGTAGGTTAGCATATGAAAACTGCTATCAACTTCAACTCCTTTGATTCTGACGAATTTTGTGACACCAGGTGTTCTCATGTCGGCTGGGCAGCGAGCAGGAAACTGCACTCTCCATCATCGACCCGGTCAATATCCAGCTGGAGCTGTGTGGGAGCCCCACATACCAAAGCAGTTCAGGTCTGTTGGACGCCTTCAATGTAGAGGACATCCCACCGCTGCTGGAGGTTAGAGGTTTACAATCAACCTATGTACAGTAAACTAAGGTTGGGAGTTACTTGCAAGTTCAACATATTTTCAAAAGAGACATAGGATAAGATATTGCATTACATTGGCAGGACGCCCCGAAGATTATTAACTCATTCACTGCCAGCCATTGGCAGTGAATGAGTTAAACCCATTGACTCATTCACTGCAATTGACGGCTATAGACGTCAATGGCAGTGAATGAGTTAAGAAAGCCTTGTTGTCCAGGCTGCCTGTTAGTGCATAGAAATGGGCAAGATTCAACTTTAATGACAATGGCTTTGGAATAATGATGACACTTGGTGATTAAAGCTGGTAACTCGAAATGCACATGAAGCTAGCTGTACTGTATTTTTGGACAATTTCCTTAATCTCAACTCAACCTTTGCTGCCTCTATGTCAATTGTCAATGGAAAATTGTATTTAGTAGTCAGTATAATCTTTTAGTGATATAAGTTTGCTTATGGTAGGATGCTGTTTGTAGTTATTTGGTAGTGACAGGATGTGTGATTTTTAGCAGGCTTGGTTCACCCCCACATCCTGGGAGCATGGGAGAAGTCGTACCTTGTTTTATTGTTTTAACGTAGCTATGTCTGTTTTAGTCTAAGTGCTTTAACTGCTGGACTTCCTCACCGTGCCATCTAGGGTGGGGGAGACTACCCTCTTTATGACCAAGGATGTACCTTTTGTGCTTTCATGTTATATGACCCTTTGATCAACACACACACACACACACACACACACACACACACACACACACACACACACACACACACACACACACACATACGCTCAATGGAGTATAAATAAAGACCGGGGCAGTTCTCTCACTGGAGTCTCTTAGAGTGGAGGCTGCCCTTGCTAGCAAGAAGTTCTGTGTGTTTCTCTTCTCTGAGTCTTTACTGAAGAAGTGTTTTAGAACATTTTCCCTAACATCAATAAAATTTAATTCACATATCATTTCCATTCATTGTTTATATTTTTGTTAATGTTTGATAGCTTCAACTAGTAACTACATAAGTTTGTGAAAAAAATATCAGACGCTGACGCTGAGCATGGCTGGTAAAGACTTGTCCTACGATTGAGGTTTTAGTTTTGTCATAAAATAGTTGAAGTTAGAAGACATACGTTAAAAAGAGCTTTGAAAGCAGATATGGAGTATTTCCCAGTATTTCTTCACAGAATGTAACATTATGGATTACCAAGTTAGCTTTGGATCTGATTTTCTGGCAGATTCAGTTTCCAGCTCTAGACATCCGTCTGTCCTACAACGACATACAGCTCTTCTTGGCCATCACCAAGTCTCTCCCTACTGCCAGTGCCCCACTGCCTCATGTCTCTGACACCACTGCTCCCCCCACCAAAGGAGCCAGCCCTGCACCCAAAGACATCTTCAGGCAGAAGACTGAGTCCCTTATAGGTATGCTGTACAGATTTTTAAGTCTTCATAGATCAACATAATGCATTTAAGTTTCTTGAAGACATTTCATCTGACAAGCTTCATCAGTTCTAAGGTCAAATGGAGGAGAGTCCCAGATTTTAAGCCCTATGGGAGTGTCCCCCAAGAGGGTCAAGGAGCCCCTATTGATCCTCTGCTTAATCACACTAAGCCAAGGTGAGAAAACTTGTGTGGGTCACAATCAGCCAAGGTTTTGGGTGAACCCACTGTGAAACCTAGCCCCACCCTATCATGTGATTTCCTGAGGTCAAATGGCCCAGGATGTGAGTGGGCGTTAAGACTGGAACTCTCCACCAGTTGCTATTAGAACTGAAGAAACTTCTCTGATGAGAGGTGAAACGTATTCAAGGAAACTTAAAGAAATCCACACGCTTTTCTTTTCAAGCTCCTTGGATCAGTGTGCATGTATACACATAATTTTTTACATTATTACCTCATTCCTGACTTTTTAGATTGTATTTTTAGTTGCACTGATTACTGATTATATGCTGTTATTCCTCTAAAATATGTTTCCCTCAGAGGGTCAGCTAACCCACTTAGAAGACCTTGGTTTCAGGAAGGAGGACTGCAAAACAGCCCTGATCCACTGTAAAGGTGAGTGAGACTATTAAAACTGGAAGTAGATGAAATGCTTAACAATCTGTGCAAACCTTCCTAAAAATCCAATTATTTGTCCATCAGGTCAGCTGGATCAAGCTGCAACATGGCTGCTGGAGAATGCTGAGAATATAGCAGGTCATCATCGAGCCAGGGCTAGCTCTGGGACCAGCAGCCACTCGGCTCCTTTGTCAGGAGTGGAGGTGAAGGCTGATAGCATCTGCATCTGTTTCATCGATGACTGCCTGGACTGTGACATTCCGCTGGCAGAACTAACCTTTTCCAGTAAGTCTCTCTAAATAATGGTTGTTACCAAAGACATTTAAAATTGATTAGTCAGCATCCAGTAGTTTAAGCTCAAGTGGCACATTTTAATCTTACCTCAGCAACTGCTGCTGAGCAAAGCCATTTATTAGATTCACTTAGAAGTTACTGTTCTCGTGCCCACTAACATGGGCTGCTTGTGTTCCAAATAATGTTGGACAACAAAATTGAAAGCGCTTCTTTTATGTTATTGGAGAAAATACTTTAGTATTAGAAATTTTAGACCTTAAGCATAAGATGAAACAGGTAAGCACCTTCACTAAATCCAATGAACAGCATCCACCTGTTTCTCAGCCTGATCTCAGAGTCTTTGTCATTAAAGGACTTTACGTGCTGCAGCGCATTGGTTCCATCCATGAAGGCAACGCTAGCTTCACTCTGTCTGGAGACTACTACAACAGAGAGCTGTCAGGTAATAGGATTTACTTACTGCATGTTTACACAATATGGTGAACATTCTTTGTTTCCTACATCTGTGTTTTTATGTTTATGCAGATTAATCAAAAGTAGTGTCTCAGTAGACTGTTATTTTCAGAGTTTGACAAGAGTTTTAATGGCATTGTAAAATGTATTAGGATGTTTCACAACAGAGTTCAGAACAAGGTGACCTCAATCGATCTCTCTCTAGATAGATTGAGAGAATCTATCTCTCAATCTCAGACAGAGCCTTGCCGCCAGCTAGCTATCAAGCTAGTGGGTAACAGACGTCTCCGAAAACGTCGGAGCGCTTTTGAAAATATGTGGTGTCTTGATAAACTGAACAGATACTTGAGGTTTATACAGCTACATTCTCGCCTGAAAATATGTTAAACGTTTATTTTGTGACCCAGAAAGTATAATAAGAGTAATATTAAAACTAACTAGCTGCCACCATTGTTGGAAACTGAGCTGGGCTGCGCTATGAATTCTGGGACAGAGCTGCTTCTTCTTCTTCGGGGTTTAACGGCAGCTGGCATCCTTGTACATGCAGTGCTGCCATCTTCTGTTTCAGTCCGTTATTACGCTCTTAAATCCCACTACTTATTCCTGCGTCTTTTGTGACCTTACAAAGCTTCAAACGACGCGTCGACTATTAAATCAGTCGTCGACGATTTTGATAATCGACATAATCGTGACTAGTCGACTAATCGTGGCAGCCCTAGTGTGAAACTCGTGTTTACTTATTTTACAGCCATTAGAAAAACAACGGCTCTTCATTTTCATGTTGTCAGCAGGTTTGTATAACAGAATCATGTGCACCACGATCAACAAAGTGAGTCATGTCAAGTGCAGCCCCTGTAGGCAGGCCAGGCCTCTTCTCTTGTCACTGCACACTTTGCTCACAGGGGGGGACTGAGGCCTAGTGGAGGACCCAAGAGTCCATTAGGGTGGAGTTCTAAAGGTATAGAGCTACAACCATCAAAGCTCATCCTCCTCTCTGATCTGAGAAACTCAGATTCCTTCTGGCTGCTTGTTTTAAGCAGCTCTTTAAAATGGGCACGTTACTGACAACAGAATGCTCTGAATGCAAAACCCGGATTTGTGAATTATATTGTGTAAATGAGAGAAAAACATTCATTCACCCAATCATCCATTTATCGAGGAGCAAGGGCTTGACTTTAACATTGTTCCCGAGATGAGAGAAGCGACTTCCACAGACAGTCCAACCTTATAGTAGAAAGGTATAACAGAAGAATATAGAGAGCCAAGAGTTGCTATAAACTTTGACATAATGCTAGATAAGCAGAAATAGGAGCTTCAGTTCAGGCAGTATTTAGCTCTAAAAAATAATAAGAAATTAATACTACCATGATACTGCATACTGCACAGTGTTTTGCTAAGTTGATCTCTGTCTGCGTGCCAGGCTGGGAGCCCTTTATTGAGCCCTGGCCCTGCATCCTTTCGTGGCAGCAGCAGGCCGCCGGTCGTCTCCATCCTCCACGTCTTAAGATGGGGATTCGAGCCAAGCAGAGACTGGACATCAACATCACGTCTGTCCTGCTGGGTAAGTAAGGAGGGACTTTCACACAGTGTTTCCAGTTACATTGTTAAAATTGTCCCACATGGCAGACCTGTGGCTCATGTGTATGTCTGGCCTTTTCAGAACAATACACCACCACCAAGAGCTCCTGGATAGCTGACTACTGTAATGAGGAGGACCAGCCCCCCCAGACGTCGCCCCCTATGCCCTGGATAGGCTCTTCAGTTGATCCACCCAGCTTTGGGCAAAGTAAGTTACAGCAAATCGGTAACACCTAATGGACTCTAGAGCTTTTTTTTTTTAATGCGTAAAAGAGAAAATCCAAAAACCTGAAATCGCCTGAAAATCACCTGAATGGTAAAGTGGCCGTTTCAGGTGTCATCAGCACTCAGGTGTCATTATCAGTACAATGCTAACACTGCACGACAAGCTGCATGACATCTCCAGTCTTGTAACTTTGTAAAGCTGAATGAACAGTTACATTGTGTTCTTTGAACCGTTTTTATTTGTATTGTCAGCTCAGACAGTACTATGTAAGATTGTTGCCAGGGTAAGAAAACAGAAGCCCGCCTGTTATCCTAGTTTAGAAGCTGGGTGTTGGTCGAGAGATGATTTTCAGTGCATTGCTGGTGTTCTTGTTTGAAGGATAACACTAACCCTCTTGTGTGTTCCCTCTGCATGTGTCTCTGTTTCAACTATCTGTCTCTACTATCAGGTGCGCCTCTTGCTCACCTTAGAACTAGGAGCACAGCCAGCTTGACTTGCCTCGAGCAGCAGATTCATTCCAGAGGTACAGTTCAGATTAAGCCACCCACTCAGCTTCCTCAGTAGCATCAGTACCACAGTTAGGGATTTTTTTTTAACTATTGGAGTGCTGGTGAGGTTCTTGTTTTGCATGCCTGTCTCTTTTAGGAACCACATACCCCATGTGTTTCCACTGGTACACAAAGCCAGCTTTTTCCTAAGCTCTGCAGACCTTTTGTTCTTCTGAGTAGTCTCTTTATTTCAGTACTTGCAATTCGCGTTAGTACTTGTACTAAACCTGTGAAGCTGAATTGTAGCTGACCTGATGTCAGCATCGCCATGATTTCACTGGCACCTGCTTCGTGCTGGGAATCTATTTTAGCTACTAAACCCAAACTGTTTTTGCTCAAAATTGCCACAAGTTGTTTAGAAGTGAGAACAAAATGACTTCTGTTGGATAGCCTCACTTCATCCATTGATCTGTCCATTCGTTTTCTTAACTACTTGAGCCTATCCCAGTCATAGGGCAAGAGGCAGGGTGCACCTTGGACAGGTCCCCGGTCTATTACAGAGCTAACACTGACAGGCAGAATCACATTCGCAGCTGCAGGCAATTCAGAGTCACCAGTTAACCCAACACAGTGTCTTTGGACTGTGGGGAAAAGCTGTCGTAACCAAACAACACAGAACATGCAAATTTTGCAAAGCTGGCCGATGGGTTTGAATCTTCTTATCACTGCATCACAGTTTGTTGTGTGTTCCCTTATTATACTAGGCTCAGTCAGATTCTGACTAGCACCAAAATGATCGTACTCTATAAATTATGTCTGATATCAGTATTAAAAATGCCAAACTACAGACAAGAATAACCAAGAAGCCGACTTACAGCAGAGCCGCTCCATCTGTTCATTCTCTCTCACTCTCATTTCTCCTCATGTCTGTTACCTAAAGCTTTTAAATAAAAAATGTGATGTTTCCAGCTTCTAAGTGAGTATTGTTAAGTTTTTTGATACCAAGTGAAATGCAATACTTGGTGCATTTCAGTCTCTGGTTGTGGATGAACTGCTAAAACCTGTTCTGGATGTAAAACTCTCTTGCTTGCACACATCACTCCTTTTGGCCGTTGATCATTAATTGTTAATACTGTTATAGTACTCAACCATACAAACAACATGCATACAAAAAAATAGAAATGACTTGGAATGGAAAAAATGTGTCTAAATGTCTGCATTTAGAGTTCTTAACCAAAAAATAAACCCATTTAAGTCTAGCTCTATCTGCTCAGCAGCGCTACAAACATTACTGAGGGATTCAAAATAATACTGCAGTTGGTATTAGGATGAACCATTATTAGTTCTATGTGTTTTATTTATATATATTTAATTTTATTGTTATCCTTTCTGCTCCCTATTCTCATCCGTCATCCACTTAGACCTTCTTGTTCCAGTAACCCATCTGAATATCTATCTTTCTATCTGTCTGTGTATATGTATATACACAAACTCTGTTTTTAATTCTGTTTCTGTCAGATGTCAAGTTGTCTAAGAAGAGGCAGCCCTTTGTCCCCTATGCTCTACGCAACCATACTGGATGTACTATGTGGTTTGCCACTATGACTACAACACCCACCAGGTAGGTGTAACCATAACGATCTTAATGCATACAATCTGCAGAAACACCATGTTTCATAGAAATAAACTGCCAACAAGTGAACACTGACTGTACTCTGACAGTTCTGTTAATGCTGAGTGCATCAGTTTGCTAACACCACAACTTTCTCCGTTTGGGTTTAATTTGTATCTAATGAAGCATGAATTTACACAGCAAAGAATTGCCTCAGCCACAAAGAATAGACAAGTACCTGAAGCTCTTTACATGTTTCCCACAGGGTAGCACTCTCCCACAGCAGTAGTGCAGACTCCATTTCTGATGTCCACAGTTCAGGATCTGATGACAGCCACAATGTGAGCCAGTGGAGAGAGGTGCTGCCTGGGGAGGAGATTCCCTTTGAGTTTGAAGCCCATGAGAAACTCCGTCATCGGTACTGCTCGGCTTCACGTTGCATCCAGTGACTCTGTTGACTGTCTTAATCTTTATTCCTCCCGGTTTGATTATTTGTGATAACACAGCAGCTTAACTGTGCTATTAATAAGCAGCTGTCTGAAATTAAGATGTTGTTAAGAAGCTGTCTACTTTGCTCAAATGATGATATGCAAGAAGAATCTGAATGATATTTGGTTAGTGTAAAGCATTTCACATTTGCCTTTTTAATCAAAAGAAAATTATCAGTACATTAACAGGGTGAATAGCAATTTGGTTGAGGTAAATGAGCTCCAACACGATGCAGCTCATATTTTTAGATGGTTCATCTCTATAGAGCTACGCACCCTTACTGTGTATCACTGCCTTTTTCAATACAGACACACTCATGAGCTGAAACTGCACCAGCTGCTGGTTCGTGTATGTGGATGGGAGCAAGTGAAGCCGGTGTCTGTGGACAAAGTGGGCATTTTCTTTCGTTATGCAGCTCCAGACAGGAGCAGCTCTTCCAACACTGTGAGCGCAACTCAAAAACAGAATTCATATTAGTAATGCTAAGGTTTTCTGCCTTCTAGGGTTGGATGTTTTTTTGTTGTTCCTTTTTTTCTCATCTTAAATATTTTTTGCTCCTTTACTTTCCCACAGGTCGGCAGCCCTATCAGCAGGACCAACATTATCCACCCACACGTTTACGTAAGTATGCCACATCTTGTTTCCAGATTAGTGAACAGCAGAGAAGGCAAGCATTTTGAAGAGACTCTAAAGCTACAGTAACAGCGTAATGCTTGTTACGCAGCAGGAAATCAGACTGTGAACAGCTCTGTCAGTCTTTAGTCTAGTCAGGTTTTTCACAGTTTTCAAATGACTGGCAACAAATAGCAGCCCAGTATAATACATGACAAAGGATGATCTAGTATAATGTACCTTGTATATTGTTGATTATGATCTAATACTACAAATAAAAAAAAATGAAGTTCATTGGAGTTAAAAGGACAAAGAAGCTGAAGACAAACTTCGCTGCATTTGTCAAAGTAATTACAAAGGTTCTAAGCTGTTCTCAGAAGTTAAGAGACTCTGAGTGTGAAGAGATGGACGACTTTGACGTGACTGTTGCTAATAATACACCTCATACTTAATGGCTCCTCAGTTCTCTGCCCTGCCTCCTGTGAGAGTGGTCTTCTCCATCACAATGGAGGGCAGTGCCAGGAAGGTGGTCACAGTCCGCTCTGCCCTCATGGTCAAGAACCAACTGGATGTTCCTATGGAGGTCAGACTGGATAGCCCCTCCGCGCCTGACAGTAAGACGCTGCTCAATTTCCCATCTACTGTAGGGTCATTTATTTTATCAACTATCCAATCAACCACTGATTTATCCTATTTTTAATTATGTTTTATTGTATGTAGTTTGGGTTATTCTATGTTATTTTCTTGTCTTCTGTCAAATCCTTCTATTTGTGTGTGCGTGTGTTTTGACAGAACCAGTAGTGTTGCCTCCAATTCTGCCTGGCCAGGCCTTGGCAGTCCCCCTCCACTTGACCTCCTGGCGGCTGCAGTCTCGGCCTAAAGGCCTGGGCTTGTTCTTCTGTAAGGTTCCTATCCACTGGACCACGGTGGAGCGGCCTGGAGAGATCAGCAGCAGTAAGAGGGAGTGTCAGTCAGCAGACTTTGATGACAGCCTCAAGCTCAACTTCAGGTAGATCTGGTCAGATGTTTTTGCTCTTTCTTCTTGTCTCGCCTGCGCTCAATACCATTCTTAATGTTTCTTCCTGTCTTGCAGGTTTTGCGTGGTCATAAAAAAGGAGAACTACCCAGACCAGCAGCCTGCCAACAAATACGTTTCTGGCAGTACAAAGCAAATCTATCGACAGCCAGGGCACACGATCTACCTTCTGCCTACCATGGTGCTGGCCAATTTGCTGCCCTGTGACATCAGCTACTACATTAAAGGAATGTCCATTAAAGGCTCATTGAAGCCGGGAAAAGAGGCTGTGCTCCATGCTGCTGACACCTCACAGAACATGGAGCTGGGTGAGCATTAGCCAAACATCAGCTGGTGTTTATGTCATAAACTTGTATTCTCAGTCTCCATGTTGATGATGTGCATCGTTCTTTAGGAGTCCTGCTGGAGAACTTCCCTGTGTGTAAAGAGCTGCTGATTCCTCCGGGAACTCAGAACTATGTAGTGCGCATGCGGCTGTATGACACCAACAAACGTCTTCTTTGTCTCACCATTCGCATCATTTTACGAGCACAAGGAGCATTAAAAATCTTGATTTCTGCCCCCTACTGGCTTATCAACAAGACTGGTAATGTTTTCTGAACGCAATAGTTACTCTGATTATTAAAAGCAAACATTTTCCCGGAAGCTTCTGTTCTCTAAAGCCGGTTTTATCCCTCAGGTCTGCCATTAATTTTCCGTCAGGACAATACCAAGACTGATGCAGCAGGCCAGTTTGAGGAGCACGAGCTGGCCCGTAGCCTCAGCCCGTTACTCTTCTGCTACACCGACAAGGAACAGCCTGCCATGTAAGTGTGTGCCATAAACAACAGGGATTCCACAGTAAGCCTCAAGTTCTACCCAGCAGGTATAGAATTTGATTCCTTCATCCTTACTTTCTATTTATTTCCCCATCTATAATGATCCCAGGTGTACAATGCGGATTGGTAAAGGGATCCATCCAGATGGAATTCCTGGCTGGTGTCAAGGCTTCTCCCTGGATGGAGGAAGTGGAGTCAGAGCAGTCAAAGTGATCCAACATGGAAACAGGCCTGGCCTCATTTACAACATAGGCAAGTTGGTCTATTCACAATCGGTGTGAGCTGAATGATTGAATGATGTCCGGCAGATTTTATCATAGTGTGTTCGTGACCTCTCTGGATGATTTGCTGTCAGTACTGATGCAACAAATTCATGGTTACATTTTAGATGAGTTAATATTTTTTCTCTAATTATTTTCTTAGTATTCTCCCTCATTTTTTTGATCAGTTTTGAGTTATTTTGTGCCTTGTAAATAGTGGCCTTTTGCCCTGATTCTATAGTTCTGTGCAACAAGGATCTTTCTCCTGTTCCTAAATGTCGCCTGTTACAGCACTCTCTTCTCACTACCCCAAAATATAATGTCAGTTCATTAACTGTTCCCTGTCTCACTAACACAGGTATCAGTGTGCGCAAAGGAAAAGGACGCTATAGAGACACACACATCGTAACCTTTGCCCCACGCTACCTGCTGGACAACCGATCTACACACAAACTGGCCTTTGCTCAGAGAGAATTTGCAAGAGGAAAGGTGAAAGAAACTCTGGATAATACTTATTTTATTTTTTATTTATTTTGCACAGGTGTTTTAGAGTAGTGGCAGCTTAGAGTGATCTTTGTTTCATACTCCTCTCTATCATTCCCTGTCTACTTCTTTACTCTGACCTGCAAAGATACGATACGCAAACAGGAAAAAAAACTGTCCATATCCTGTCCCTACATAAACAAACCAAACAAACAAACCAACCAGGTTCAGCCTTGACATCCCTGTCACTCTGGACTTTTACTTTTCAGGCCCAAAGACTAAAACAGTGCTTCTTTTTGCTTTGCTGGTTGGTAACTAAGTAAATAATTAAAGATAAATAAAGTAATAAAGTGATTCCAGGGAACCAGTATTCCCATAACAACAAATATTCATGTGTGTCCTAGGGTACGGCCAACCCGGATGGTTACATCTCCACCCTGCCAGGCTCCAGCGTTGTCTTTCACTGGCCACGAAATGATTATGACCAACTGCTATGTGTGCGCTTCATGGACATCCCCAATTGCACATGGTCAGGAGGTTTTGAGGTTAACAAACCCAAGTCTTTTCATGTAAATATGAGGTGAGCTACCTACTGTATGAAGACACATTAATCTTTTAGCAAATGTCCATGTTGTCTTTCCGTGATGCCAAAGTCCCTCTAGGAGCACGTTTCCCCACTCAGCAGCCAGCTTGATGAAATTCACATGCAGTTATTTAAAGAATGTGCCATTTCTATTTATGTGTAGCGTGGCCTCTAAACAAAAAATTCAAAAGCTGGAATGATATACTACTGTGGAATTGCTATGCATATGTATAGTCTGGATTATTTGATTTCCATGTCCCTCTCTTATCTGTGTCTGCTATGACTTGATTAGGTCAGGTCATGGCAGACAAATTCATGATAAACAGCTCCATCTGTCACTTGATGAGGGGTATCGAATGTTGCATTGAAAGCAATCTTGTTACTGGCTGTAAAAAAAATTCTCATGAATTTTGTTTCTCTAATAATCTGAGAGAATATTTTATGGATAAAATCTCTTAAATCTTGAGATCTGATTTTCACCCAGGTGTCATCCACATACCTGAGACAATGACAATGACCAGGGTAGGATAACAAAGCCCTGTTTTTCCATTCTTCCATGTACAAGTTGCCACATTGGCTGAAACTGAGGAACCCATGGTTAATTAATGGCAGGACATCTTTTAGCAGTTTTGTAGGAAGTAGTAGTTTTGTGGGGTCTAAAAGACACATTGATGGTTTGGAGGAAGTAATTACTGATGCTAACTCAGAAAGATCAATTGGAGAAAAGAGTCTAAATTAATATCAATGGTACTAAAAGTAGCTGTAGATAATATTACATCTGTGAGATGATTATGAGTAATTTTTTCTCTAATGGTTAACATTTTATTTGTGAAGAAGTTCATGAAGTCATTACTAGTTAACGTTAAAGGGATGGTTGGCTCAACAGAGCTCTGACTTTTTGTCAGCCTGGCTACAGTGCTGAAGAGAAACCTGGGGTTGTTCTTATTTTCTTCAATCAGTGAAGAATAGAAAGATGTTGTAGCTTAACGGGGGGACGCTTTTTAAAATTTAATTTTGTTTATTTATTTATTTTTATAAAGCAACACACTATTTCTCCAGGCTAAATGATGATTTTCTAAATTTGTGACACGCCATTTCCTCTCAAGCTTATGAGTCATCTGCTTTAGGCTATGTGTTTGAGAATTATACCACGGAGTCAGGTACTTCTGATTTGAGGCTCTATATTCCAGAGGAGTTACAGTATCCAGAGTCATACGTAGTGAGGATGCAAAATTACTATCCACCTCTGTTGGAGTAGTGTTCAGGTAGCTGCTCTGCTCTGTGTTGGTACAGGGCATTGAAGATGATAACAGTGGGTGGATTATATTCTTAAACTTAGTTACAGCACTTTCAGAAAGACATCTACGGGAGGAGGGATGGGGAATAGTTAGTGAATAATGAAGAGGATTTTTAATGAAAAAGTGAGTTTGGCTATGAAGAGTAGAAAAGTGGTTCGTGTAAATACCTGCACAGGTAGGAAGATGTCTCGGAAAAAAGGACAGTGGATGTTTTACTCAGATTGTTTAACACAATCTTGGAAATTGAAAGAAATGCGCTGGTATCAATTTTCAAGAACAAGGGTGGTGTGTAGAGCTGAGTGCAAGTTAGAGAGATGGTTTGCACATGGGCAACTGAGAGATGGTGGATACATAAGACAAAGAGTTTGAAGATGGAGCTGCCAGGCAGGAGGAAACCTCAGAGATGATTCACAAATGTAGTGAAGGAGGACATGAGAGGGTGATTGAGACAGAGAAGGATACTGGGGAGCAGGTGTTACAGACAGACAAACAGAAACACATTTCACAATATTTTATGTATTTATTTGATTTTATTTGTATCTTATTTTAAAAAGGGACACACTGGGGAATTGTTTCTTCCTACGGACAGAGATCACCCTCAAGGGAGCCACCTACCAGATCTCCTTTACTGACACTGACCAGCTGCCTCCTCCTTTCCGCATTGACAACACCTCTGAGGTTGGTCCTAACTGTCAGGTGCTACTGTGTTAGTCAGATAAACAACGCCTGTACTCAAAACACTGGACAACAAGTGCTTTTGTCTAACGTTCATGCACACTCTCACACATTAGGTAAACCAAGGGTTCAGTAACTTGCCCAAGGATACTTTGATGTGCTTTGTGTTAAACGACCTGCTCTACCTCCTGTAATGGATAGTATACCAGAGACAAAGGGTCTTATTATTAATTTGCAACTTGGGGGGTGTTGTTCTGAGAGGAATTCAGAATCTTTTTTTGAGATCCATAGCAGTTATGGTCTGGTTATTTGTTATTTCTTATCTTTTTGTGTCCTTCACATGCAAAAGTGTCTGGGTTGGCTTTATTATCTGTTACACGTCTTCAGTAAAAATGAAAGACAAATGGAGCATGAGGTAAATTGTTAGAATAAACTCCTTTGTTTTAATTGTTGCAGGTGCCTATTCGATTCTGGCAGCATGGTGTAGTTGACATGCAGCTGCACACTGAGGTGAAGCCAGGCGCAGTGCTAGACTACGCATGTGATGAGCCTACATTGCCCCCATGCCTCATACTCACTGTGAAGGGAGCTGGATCTTCTGAGGTCACAGCTGACATGAACTTCTTCCGAGAATACAACAAACTCTACTATGAGAACTTCATCTACATCGCAGCCACGCACACTTTCTCACAGTATGGCTGAAGGAATTAAAAAGGACATCATTTTCTTTGTTTTCCTTTTTTTTAAAGTTCAAAGGTTAATTTTGTATCTGCAGGATTGTCGAGAGACGACTTGTTGGGAAGAAGTGTTTGGTGAGCTGTGCTGAACTGGTTCTAGATGTGGACACTAAGACTCAGAGGGTCATCCTGAGGAAGAAGGTAGTATATTTGTTAGGTTATACATTGTAAAATGTAAAACAGAATGCACTGATTTACAAGTCATTTAAGATAGTAATTGATTTATTTATTAGTTATTACCTTTATTTAACCTTAAAGTCTCACTGAGATAAAATCTCTTTTTCAAGGGAGACCTGGCCAGGTTAGCAGCCATATAAACTCAAAATGTCTCAAAATGAATGCAATAGAAAAAGACAAGAGCTACAATATGACGTAGATCCACATTCCCACAACATAAGACTAATGGCCTCTCAAGAAATACGTACAAGTCTCCTCCATCACATTGCTTGTGATAAATTTAAATCTATCAATAGATGTAGCAGCTCTACTTGGAACCCCTCCCGAATTGCTAAGCTTCTCCCCCTGGCTTTAACGAGGGCCAGCCACCCTTTGGAGAAAGCTCATCTAACATCCAAGATCTAATTCTTTCAGTCACTAGCACTTGTCTATTGGTGAGTGTAGCGACTTAGATTGACCGGTCCTTATACAACCGTGCAATGGCTTGAATCTCCAGTCATAGGTGCCCTCTTTTAAAAATGGTCACATTGCTAATATCACACTTTAAATACTACCTGGAATTGTGTTAACGCATTCATCTGTGTGCAGGCTAGCTCTCCACTACTGTGAATAAGCAGCAACCCAGCAGCAAAACTTGCCATCAACTCAAGTTTTATGCACGTGTCAGGCTGATCAGAAAACCTGTTGCCATTATCTTTTCGTGTGTGTGTGTGTGTGTGTGTGTGTGTGTGTGTGTGTGTGTGTGTGTGTGTGTGTGTGTGTGTGTGTGTGTGTGTGTGTGTGTGTGTGTGTGTGTGTGTGTGTGTGAGAGAGGAGAGAGGAGAGAGGAAAAAGGAAAATTATAGAAAATTCTAATCATTCTGTTTACATGGAATATTGTGCAGGAACCAGGAAAGCGTTCCCAGCTGTGGAGGATGACTGGGACTGGCATGCTTTGTCATGAAGGTTCATCTCCACCACAGAGCAAACCAGCTCAGCCACGCCCACTGGACTCCTCTCTTGTACTGGACATCGCTGGACTTGCAGCTGTTAGTGACAACAGGTTTGTTCTCTGCAGTTTAAGAATTCTCTCTCAGGAGTAATTTTCAGTAATTTAATGACCCCAGACCGTAAGCTGAGATGAACTCTGGGTGTAAGAGGTATTTCTTTACCTCTCCCAGTTTTGAGCCACTAATGCTGAGGAGGCCAGACTCACGACGCAGCACCACCCAGACATGGTACTTCAGCTCAGGCATGCTGACCTGTGGCCTGCCTCGACTGGTAGTACAGGTAGGTGCACCACCAGCTTAGCTTATTATTGTGCTTGTGTTTTTCCTTTCATGACTTTCTTCAGTTTTACACTATTCGGTGACTGGTACTCTCCAGGTGAAAGGTGGGGTTGCGGGTCTGTATGATGGAGCAGAGGTGGTTCTGGGACCAGATTCTGGACTTCTGGAGCCTAGTCTTGAGCAGCAGTTCATCAACCAGAAGATGAGGCCGGGTTCTGGGGTTCTGTCGGTCCAGGTGCTGCCAGATGGACCCACACGTGTCTTACAGGTGAAAAACCCAAAACAGGAAAGTCTAAAGAAATGACAAAAAGCTGCTCGTAAAGAATTGTTTAGACCAGGGGTCGGCAACCTGCGGCTCTTTAGTCTTTATACTGTGTATAGAGTTTGCAGTTCGTCTTGTAATCGGAAGGTTGCCAGTTCGAGCCCCGACCTGGACAGTCTCGGTTGTTGTGTTCTTGGGCAAGACACTTCACCCGTTGCCTACTGGTAGTGGTCAGAGGGCCTGGTGGCGCCAGTGTCCGGCAGTGTCTCGCCTCTGTCAGTGCGCCCCAGGGCAGCTGCGGCTACAATGTAGCTTGCCATCACCAATGTGTGGGTGGATGACTGAATGTAGTGTAAAGCGCTTTGGGGTCCTTAGGGACTAAGTAAAGCGCTATACAAATACAGGCCATTTACCATGGTGATCTTGAAAAAATATAAAATGATATTTTATTATTTTTCGTTGCTCAAAATAAGAGTCACACTCCCGGCTTCCGCGAGTGTGACTCGGGACTTTCAACCCCAGGTAGGCCAAGTATGGAGAAATGTAAGAAAAGAAAAATATCTGAAGAAAATAGAACATTTAATGATGCCTGGGCAGATTTATTTGCATTTACTTCTGACGAGGCCTGCCAGTATGCCTAAATTCGGACTTTGGATCCACATACGTATTTGAGCAGCTATTCCCCACTATGTTAAAAACAAAAACCGCTCGCGCCTCACAGATGACAGCTTACAGTCTTGCGTAAAGATGAAAGTGACTTCATACAGCCCCGATTTGCAGACGCTGTCCGCAGAGGTTCAGGAGCAAAAGCCCCATTGTAAACATACCACGGCAGACCCAACAATGTTTGCATGAACATGCTTTTTAGCATCTCTTTATTGACCACTTTTCACACACGGTTGCTGTACACATGCAGCTGGCTTTAGCTTTCCAGCACAGAGCCCAACACATAACACAACAGCAGAGAGAGCACAGACTTTAAGGTGGCAAGGCGTCATTGCGGATGATACTCAGGTGCGTCCACCTCTTCTGCAGAGGCATTGCAGGCCACGCCCCGCCATACACATTAACCATTTTTTAGCAGCATAGTGCTTTTTTCCATCCATCTATTCATCCATTCGCTTCCGCTTATCCTTTTCAGGGTCGCGGGGGGCGCTGGAGCCTATCCCAGCGAGAGGCGGGGTACACCCTGCAGGGTTCTCAAAATTTCAAAATTCCTGGTAGCCCTTCGGGCAGGGACTCTTCAGTTTTTGGTAGCCCAAAATAAATGTAAGTAGCCCGAATAAAAAAGAGAGCAATTTTTTGATTGATGTTTTGTTTCCTTTACAATATTATACATTAAAGTATAATATTGTAAAGGAAACAAAACATTAATCAAAAAATTGTTGAAAAACAAATTACAACATTGTATAAAAATTACAATCATCAACTCAAATACTTGGTTCTAATTGAACAGAAATTTCTATGAACTTGTAAGAACTGTGTAGGACATGAATCAGTCTGTGCCAGATCCTGAATTTGAAATTTCCACTGAAGTCACGGGTAAGAGACAAGTGGAACCAAGATCTAGGCCATTTGCTTTTTGAAGTTTGCAAAGACTGCTAAATTTTGCCAGTGGTAGTTCACTCTTTGCAACATAGTACGCTGTTCTAAACAGATTTTTCAGGTTTATTTTTAGTATGTTATTTGCAATTGGTGTTTGTTCTGGGAAAGATATTGCAGACTGAGCAATAATGCATTTCTTGCATTTCTCATGGGTTCTAATGGGGGCCTTTCTTAAAATGACTGGTCCCAGTAACAAAGGCGCTTGTCGACTCAGAAATCGAGAGAAAACCAACAACACACCCGGCAGAACATTATGTTATTTACACGGGTGCACATAAGTGGTCCGCATGTGCGCATTCGCTGTCAAAATAAAAGACGCGCACCAGATAAGGAGTTGCAACGCGCGTTTGCGTCCATATAAAAAGCACTGTTTTTGTCCGCTAGAGTGGGATTTTCACGGCACATTCCACACCACATCTCTGTGCGTTCATCATTTGTTTGAAGCCAGCTCACCTCCTGCAACCACTTTTCCGAGAATACGTGCTTCTTTTGTGGTTCGGACTCCTTCTGACATTTCTTTGGAGGTAGAGGAACACCAAAGTAATTGCTTAAAGGAGCTTCTTCGACATCTTTAAGAGTTTTAAACAAATGTCTGTCCTCCTCCAGAAAATCTTATGTATGCAAACACGCGTTGCAAGTTCATATCTTGTGCGCGTTTTTTTTTTTTTTTTTGACAGCGAATGCGCACCTGCGGACCACTTATGTGCACCCCTGGTTATATAGCTCGTCATATTGCAGCCACAGAAATTCTTTTGTCCATGAAACCATAAAGCTGCTTGTGGTAAGCTTTTCTTTGGCTGTCACTTCTTCACCCTGACCTGTCTTATTTGGCTCAGCAGAACTAAAATATATATCCTGCTGCTTTTACACACGCACTCACATAACGCTCAGCGATTCTCTGCGCGATCAACCTCTCACATGTTTAAGCTTGCTGCGGGAGATTTCACTTGTCATGTTTGCATAGTAAGCTAACGATTGATAAGACGATGTCAGAGGAATTGGTGCACAAATTATCATCACTCACAGATCAGTGCTGTCGCTCTCTATACACAGTTCGCACGATTGCAAAGTGAAAGCAAAAAAACAAGCGCAAATTCAAACGCGATTTCAATATGTCACATATTGACAGTGGCTCACCGATGCCAATGACATAATTACCCAGCTACATTTCTGAAAGAATGCAAAAGCATTGACATATATTTTTCCTTCCTACAATAGCCCGACGGGCAGGGCAGAGATAGATTTTGGTAGCCCGACTGGAAAAATCGCTAGCTCCGGGACGTCGGGCTAGCGATATTGCGAGCCCTGCCCTGGACAGGTCACCAGTCTGTCACAGGGCCAACACACAGGGACAGACAACCATTCGCACTCACATTCATTCACACATTCACACCTAGTGACAATTTGGATTATCCAATCAACCTATCCCCACAAGCTTGTGGGGATAGGTTGCTTTTTTCCAATTATTTTTAAAATTCAGAGCAAGCCCAAAGGTGATATAAGAATGACAGCTCAGTTTTTGTTTGCTACATGGATAATTTAAGTTCAGCCTTTTAATTCATTTAAAAGAGACCTTCAGCTGGATGTCATTCTTTTTTGTAATTTTTTTAAGTGTTCAAAATGTGTTCATTACATGAATTAAATTTTATTTTCTTTGTAGCACTTCGTGAATTTCATAAGCAACACTTTATAGCTGTTCATACAAAGCATAAAGGTAAAAAAAACAATGTATGCAGTGTTATCTTCATTTTAGATGTGAAAAAGTATTTGCGGCTCCCAGTGTTTTCTTTTCCGTGGAAACTGGGGCCAAATGGCTCTTTGGGTCTTAAAGGTTGCTGACCCCTGGTTTAGACAAATAAAAAAACACAGCAATTACAAACAGTTTCACCTAACAGGCTCTTCAAAATAATAACTAAGAAAATGCGTTCTGACAGCTTTTGTTCATCTTAAAAGGTCATACCAATAGTTTAACCTGCTTGTTTGTTGTAGTTTATTGTTGTTTTACCTGGTTTACTAGAAACCACAACGTACCAGGGAGTTATCAATCTTTTCCTCCCTACATGGCAAACTCGCCTACCCTGTAGATTAGGTGCAGTACTCTCTTCTCAAGCAACTTGGTATGTATGCTTTTTTTTTGCGTCTTTAACATACTGTTATAACATCATGATATTGACTTAATGAATGCTCAGTCATCCAGGCAAGAAAATTCCAAAAAGTTGATGCTGTTCATCCGGAGGTTTCGTCAATCATCCAAGTGTCTTCTTCTGTCTCAGCTGACTGCAGGTTTCCACAGCCTTATAAACAGTAAATTTGCACAATGAGTAAAACTAGCACCACTTGCGAAAGAGGAGCGGATCCAACAGAGACTTACAATGCGGCCAGAAGAGAGAAGGATGCCACACCGAAGGGGACAAGTGGGTGAAAAATATGTCTAACAGACAACTCATCCAAGCAGAGAAAAACAAAAGGGTTGAACTTTGCTGTGACACAGAAACAAATCCCTCTAGTGGAACTGATCACAGCCACAGAAACGGCAACATTGCAGACGTGGAGGACGTGTCCCCCGACACAAACAGAGTAGTATACTGTACACTGTTAAGTGCCGGGAGAATTGCCAGAATTTATACATCGGGGAAACCAAACAACCTCTGGCGAAGCAGATGGCACAACACTCAAAAGAGTTAAGTTGTCTTCACCACAGTGGACACTCTTTCAGTGATAAGGGTGTACACATCCTGGACAGGGAGGAACGCTGGTTTGAGTGGGGAGTCAAAGAGGCCATTTACATGAAAAGGGAAAGACCATCTCTGAATCGAGGAGGGGTCCTAAGGGTACATCTGTCACCATCTTGCAGTGCTGTGATTGCAGCCATTCCCCAACTCTCTGTGAACTCTCTGTGGTACTCATGGACATTGATCATTAGTCATTGGCCAATGATCAGTGGTCAGTGACCAGTGGTTGTTCATGCGCAATAATGATCAAGAAACTGACCTCACAGCCCATTTTTCACAAGTGGTGCTTGTTTCAGTCATTATGCAAATGTACTGTTTATAAGGTTGGGGAAATCTGCAGTCAGCTGAGACTGAAGAAGTCACTTGAATGAGTGACGAAAGGTTTCTCCCACTGAAAACGAGATGTCTGGATGAACAGAATCAACTTTTTGGGATCATGTTATTGGGAGCAGGTCTTGACTCATTATCCTGCTCCTGAATATGCTATGGTCAATAGGACACCCCCCAGTAATTGTGTGAATCAGAAGCCTTGGGTACACTACCAACTCACTCATGTTTCCACCCTAGAGACTTGTCAATGTATTCCAGGGGCCAGAGCATGCAACACAAAACAAGTTAGAAACCTCTGACTAACATTCCTAAAAACACTGGTAGCGAACAACTGTGAGCAACAAAATGATGCACGACAGGCAAATCACTTCCTGTGTGAGCGTGCCTTAAGACAAAGAATTGAATGTTCTTGAATGATTTTAACCCATCTGAGCATGTGTTTTTTGTTTTTTTTTACTGAAGGTGGGATGGTAGAGTAACACATTTGATGTTGAAAAAAAATTGCAATTCCATAATACAGTTGTTTTTGCTTTCCAGTCTTTACTTCAGTCATTTATATTTGACCTGACTCCAGATGTTCCAAATCTGATATACAGTCTCTTTGGTTTTTCTTTTTTGTTCACACACTATAAATCTGGTAACTGCTTCTTTTATGATGTACCAGATATTTATCACTCTAATGATCCAAAAATACTTGTGAAAATATCTGAATTTCATATCTGTGAACCTCCTCAGTATTGATTTTGGTTTAAACTGCATTTTTTGCAGATCAGTGACTTCAATCAGAGGAGAATGATGAGGAGCTCACCTAGTACAGAACAGGATCGGGGCAAAGATGACGTGAAGAAGAGAGAGGCTGAGCAGGAGCTGGAGGTAAAATCATTTGAAATGCATCTATTATGCTGTAACAAAAATCTTTCACTTCAAGTGTTTATTTGTAGTGTATATATACTTCTCAATTTGGGGATTCAGATATTCTCACAGTTTAAAAAAGTGAATATGTTCTCCCAGCTCTTCATCTTTAAGAACGAAGACTGGAGGCTGTGCTTAAACTACTGGGGGATCACTCTCCACAGCCTCCCTTGAAAAATCTGTTCCATGGTACTGGATAGGAGCACAGCAGAGTGTGACGTACCAACAATGAGTCCCCCTTCCCTCTTCTGAGCTGTTTCTCTTTCCCTCTTTCTTTCTCCCCTTCTTTCCCCCAGTCAAGTCTGTCCCGTATTCAGCAAGTGAAAATAAAATAAACAATAAAAGGTGAATCAAATGGACCATTACGGCAAGGCTGGGATGGTCAATTTGGTAAAGTAAATCTGTTGGGCATCTTTCTTTGCCTTTAGACAATAATTCTGATGGCAAAAGAGCCAAACGGGACAGGCAAAAGAAAAAAAAAAACAAAAAACAAAAAAAAACTGAGTATTAGCACCTCCAAATTTGAGGCCATGGCCCTTAGCTGGAATAGGGTGGAGTCCTCCACGTGAGCTGCTGCGACATGTGAAGGAGCTTAAGTATCTCAGGGTCTTGTTCATGATTGATGGGAGAAGGGAGCAAGAGACCATGGCTACAGTGATGCTCTCTGGTCTCTCTTCCTTAGAGATAGGATGAGGAGATAGTCATTTGAGAGAGTCTTAGAGAAGAGCCCCCGTTCCTCGACATCGAAAGGAGCCAGTTGAGGTGGCTCAGTAATCTGGCAAAGATGAAATGGGTGAAATGTTCCAAGCATGTCACACCAGGAGAAAGCCCCTGGATCTGCTGGAGAAATTACATCTCTTGGCGTGTCTGGGAATCCCTCAATGTTCTCCTGGTTATGCTGGATGGGGTGGGGAGAGGGTTGTCTTGCCTTCTCTCTTCCTAGCCCTACAACTCTGCCCTGAATAAGAGAAAGATGGTGAATGTGTGGATGAATATTATCTTATTATTTTCTAGAATTTTTTACATTGTTGCACTGGTCTTGGTTAGAATAGGCTTTCTAGAAAACCTTAAAATGGTTCATCTAGGAATCATACACTTCTTCTCTGTAATTATACCCAGGTGTTGGTGAACTTGGAGGAGGGGCTAGGGCTGTCTCTGGTCAACAAGGTTCCTGAGGAGCTTGTTTTTACTACGCTGTCTGGTATAGATGTCCACTTTACTCGCACTGCTGCCAATGAAGTGTTGGAGCTGAGCATCCACAATATACAGGTGAGCTTACTGCACATTTGGAAATATTTACAGTACTTAATAAACGCATTGGAGGACCACGCAGTGTGAGGTTTATTCCAGAGCTACTTTAAACGAACTGTTTCACATGCTCAGGGTAGCTTTCCATTATCTGGACTCACTTACCCAACACTGACAGTCAGGATAAGTTTCACACAAAGCTGGCTATCAACGTTAACACAAGGTTTCACTAATCTGTTTTTTTTTTCTCTTAGTTGTAGCCTCTGTGGTGTATGATAGTCTGGGAGGAAGCAAAAATTACCATGGCAACATACTGGTTTACAGTAGGAATTAAACCACCTTCGTAATACATAAAACCCAGCTTACATAAAACCCTAGAGTAAAACAGTTTTCCAGCTTCCTCTCTCTAGTACAGGACACCGCTCTGCAGTCAGGTCTCATGCCTCCCCTGACACCACACCCTGAACCCACTGCTCCACTTCTGCCCTGCAGCTGAGCCATAAATCACTTAAATTTGAATTCATGTTATTAAAAGATGCATAAATGACTTCAATTAAGCAACCAAGATTTTATTGAAATGTGTACTTTCAGCTTAAATGGGTGGCAGAATGATACAGTGGTTAGCATCATTGCCTCACAGTAAGAAAGTCCTGGGTTAGAGTCCAGACTAGGGCCTTTCCATGTGGAGTAAATGGGAAATGGACTGATTCTTATATACTGCTTTTCTACTCTACCTGAGCACTCAGAGGATTTTATACAACTTGCCTCATTCAGCCATTCATACAGGCACTTTTTTCTATGCTTCCGTGCTTTCTATCTAACACATACATTCATAGGCACAAGCCCCACATGACCTTGAATTCGAATAGAGCGGTTGATAATATAGATAAATGAATGCAAAAGATGCTTCATTTTACATTCATGTGGTATACATGCTGAAAGTTAAGAAGGAAAATTGTTTGATCCCCCTCTGAATTTGTAAGTTCACTTACAAACAAAAGAAAAGTCTCTAAATTTTGTGGTAGTTTAATTTTATTGGAGAGAGACAGAATATAAACCAAAAATCCAGAAAAACACTTCATATAAATAACAGTCAAGCACAGACGTGGATGCTTTGGAGTTGTTTCTCTGCTAAGGGTACAGGGTGACTTTGTTGTATTGAGCGGCCAATGTATGGGATCGTGTACAGTAAAATCTTGGATGAGAACCTCTTTCCCTCGGCCAGAGGGCTGACGATGGGTCATGATGGGTCTTCCAGCATGACGGTTATCCAAAACATACCAACAACATAACCTAACAAAGGAACAGCCAGATAACAAGCACATTAACATCATGGAGCCAGTCTCCAGACCTCAGTACTAGAGAAAATGTATGGAGGGAGCTAAAGCTTCAAGTTGCCAAACGGCACCAAGAAACCTAAAGGAATTAGTGTTTCTGTGGAGATCCCCCATCTCCACAGAAACACTAATTCCTTTAGGTTTCTTGGTGCCGTTAGATGTTTAATAAGATGTTTCTTGTAGGATTTTGACCCCCCCAGCCAAAATCCTACAAGAAACATCTTATTGCTGTGTTTGTGGTTTCTAAGTCATTTTAGCTTAGGCATCAAATACTTAATTCACTCAATGACATACAAATCAATTCGTAACTTTTTATGAAATATGTTTTTAAATCAAAATTAAGCTGCCATAAAAATGAGAGATTTCACATCTTTGTATTGTAAGTGAGCAAATTTACAAATAATTATTTAACTTGCTGTACTTGTGAGTCTGATAAGTGCATCTGGAAAGTATTCACAACATTTAACCTTTTCCAGATGTTGTCATATTATTCCAAAATGGATTTATTTATTTTTTTAATTTCACATTTTTACACACATACCTTATAATGACAAAGGGAAAAAGTTTTCTTGAAATTCTTGTAAATTAAAATCTGAAAATAAAAATATAATATGTACATAAGTATTCAGTCTGACACTGTGCTGTGAATGCTTTCCTCATGAACTTGTTTATGTAGTAAATGTTTCGCTAACTCTATAAATACTCTTTCTGTCACATTGTGGTTATCAGGTGGATAATCAGCTCTTGGGTACCACTCATCCTGTCATGCTGTGTGTGACTCCCAGTTCCAGTGAGAGCAGTGTAAGTGACAGTGGCCCAGCGATGCAAGTCAATTCAGTCAAGGTTCCTAGCAGCCTCATGCTTACTGACCTCTACAAGGTGAGTACCACACAGTGCTCCATCACAGGTGATCACTGGGGACTGTAGAAAAGTAAACTGATGAAACTGTCATAAAGTATATTTTTTAACTTAATCTTGATATTTTTTTTTAGAAAACATATAGCTTTGTTGTACCAGAATCTTGTGACTAAAGATGTAACCATGATATATACGCAGCACCTGATGGTGACAGCTCGTCACTTCACTGTCATAATTGAGGAGAAGTTGCTGCTCAAGCTGCTCAGTTTCGTTGGATATGGACAGACAGATGCTGGTGGGTCTTTGTTTCAGCATCATTGTTAATAGTGGTAAGAGGCTCACCGCAAAACTGATCATTTTTATCCTTATCCAGAGCTGGAGAAGTTGGATGAAAACCTCCGTGACAAGCCCAACGAGGACACTGGACCTCACAAACGGTACTACTTTGAGAATTTGAAGATCAGCCTTCCTCAGGTCAAACTGAGTGTCTTCACCTCTCACAAGCTGCCTGCTGAACTCAAGGTAACCAGACACTGATCTTTTTTTATAACCAAGCTTGAAATCATTCTGATAATGCAAAGTGGCGGTGCCTTTGATAGAGAGCAACATTTCCAAAAACCAAAGCTTAATGGTAGACATAACCACTCAAAAGTTTTATTTTCTTAAAGCAGTTGCTCAGCATTTTGAGAATATTTTCTTCTTTTCCTTAATATGCTGTTTACATGTAAATACAATTTAATTAACCTAACCAAGTATAAAAATTGGAGTAGCTTGGATCTTTATAAATAATAAAGCTAAATTAATTGTTTAAAGTTGAAAACGTCTTTGTAGGGCAGATGAAATCTTAAAGGATTGATATAACAGTAGACAGGCACCAGTTCTGTGTAGCTCTCACTCGTGCTGCCAACAGCAGCAATATTTAGGTGGGAGATATCCACATGAATACTAGGACACAAGGTTTCCAACCAGAACATCGTATTCTGTCACAGGAGATCAGTGCTTTTCATTTCTTACATTAAATACTTAAATACTTATAATGTTATGTGTGGTCAGCTGGTTTTCACACCATAAAATTGTGACTTTGCCGATTATTAATTAATTTATTTTAAAGCTGTCACCATATTGGGTTTTGGAGCCTGGAGAGTACATCTGGAGCTCGATATGGAGTGCTACGTTATCAGCTAACAGTTGGTAGCTCATTTACCAAGGGGCATCTATAAACTGCTTGATGCAACACATGCACACACACACACACACACACACCTGTGCATATCTGCTGATTAGATAAATCTGTTAAAATAGTACCAAATGGCGCCAAAAACCCAAACGTTGTTAAAAGGTCCAGATCATTGACAGTTAGCCTAGGTGAAGTCAGACAGCTGCTAGCTAAAGCACTACACAGGTACACCTGGCAATCCAAGCAGCCAAGCCACTGACTAACCAACGTCCAAATGGGAGATTTATCGTAAAAAACACATTACTTCCCATATAGTTGTTACTAGGGAGAGATGGACGGCAACATATTTTTTTACCAAGCTGTTTTGTATCAGGCTGTCTGTGGGCCCCTGAGGCTGCCTTTTGTTTCAGACCACCACTCCCAACAAACATAGATGTTTACATCAGCGCTGTAACTTGCACTATTTTATCAACCGATTCACACTATAAACAGTGTTTGCCTCTTATCTGTATTTAATTATTTAATTTAATAACGGTACAGTACTCTTGGTAACCATTGTCCTTCATGTAAATATGTAAAAATTGTGCATGTTTCTGTTCTTTGTCATGTGTACTGTTTGTTTGTATATGTGTCTTTCTTGCTGCTGTTACACCCAAATTTCCCCTTGTGGGACAATTAAAGGATTATTCTATTCTATTCTAATGTGGTTAAAGCCTGACTTTGCAGGCACTCTGCATTTGTGGCATAAAACAATTCAAGTATCTGAGAGCTGCCATGCTACTGCCTCATATTATTACATGATTTGTTTTTCTTTTCCTTTTTTTTGGTCATTTTAGGCCCTGAAAGGTACCCTGGGCTTTCCTCTAGTTCGCTTTGAAGATGCAGTCATCAACATGTACCCATTCACAAGAGTGCATCCCTATGAAACACAGGAGATCATCATCAATGACATCCTTAAGCACTTTAGAGAGGTAACAGGCTTTATATACGTGTGTGTGTGTGTGTGTGTGTGTGTGTGTGTGTGTGTGTGTGTGTGTGTGTGTGTGTGTGTGTGTGTGTGTGTGTGTGTGTGTGTGTGTGTGTGTGTGTGTGTGTGTGTGTGTGTGTGTGCGCGCGTGCTTAGCATAGTGGTAAGAATGTCTGTATCAAGTAAGGGTCCCTAGGCTAGAACTCCCATGCTAATCAGTCCTACCTCTGATATGAGCGAGAGACTGAAGCCATACCGGCTCAGACGTCGCCCAGATTAATAATGTCCCGCGTCAGGTGTTGAGGAACCAGGACACACTGATGAGAAGTGAGCTTCTGGAGCAAGAAGGTGCAAGTAGACAAGAGATGAGAATAGGACACTGTTGGAACACTACTATACAAGTAACTCCAGTGGAAGTGGTCACATGAACATGATGAGGGACCTATGGAATCTTCGATATCCAGCATCCAGTTTGATGGCAAAACAACTAGTAGCTCAGTGTTCCAACATTCAGAAGAAGGTAACTGCTCTCACTGTAAGAGACTGACGAGGTACAACAAAAATGCTACACCAAGGACGACAGGTCAGAGGGGAGATATCATAACCCCCATCTGACATTTGGTACCAAACCCCAAGTATGAAGGAAGAAGGAGTGTTGAGTGTGAGAGGTGCTGACCTGAAAGATAGGATTATGGCAAAGCTGGAAACCTGGACCCTCCATAGCCGGTTACCAAGACCACGTGAAGTACCCTCTGAAGATCTACTAGATGATGGACAATTCCTACTGCAACCATCACCACAGCCTATCAGCTGATCTACACCACCATAAATAGAACAGTTGAACAATGGTAAACAGGGATTTGTGTTGTTGTGTGGAACTGTAACTTCAGGTTTATATGAAATGGTAATTATGAGGCAATATGTTTTAGGTCATTTTACAGATAAATGCAGTAGTATTGTAATGAATAGTGTAGCAAAGTATTATCCTGCATTACTTTTAAGAAAAGTGTTCTGTGTAATACTTTTTTGAGTAATGATCCCAACGCTGATAGCAACAAAGAAGGTAAATCCCTCCAACATGGACAAACATTTGACCCACAGCATGTAATTAATTTGCATTAATGTAATGTCTCAGTGGTGACTCTCAAAATGTAGCAAATGAGAATCGATAAGTAATAATGATAATGGAATAACTACATTCTTATCAATTCTTATTCCCATCCCAAGCTGCCTAAGACAGTTCAGGCTGTGTTGAAAAATACCAAATATAGACTTTCAAGCTTTGTGAAATTGTACAACTTCTGTTCTTGCCTTATATACTGCATTTTTATATATATATATGTGTATATATATATGTATATATATGTATATATATATATATATATACACATATATCTTTCAATGAAAGGCTGCAGCTATTATATCCCATTTTCATAGCAAACTATAAAGAAATGTGGTGAGCTCAGGAATTTTGCACAGTACTACATGTCAACAGAGATTTCATTTAGAAGAATTTAGTAGAACAACAAAAAATATATAAAAAATTAAAACTGCAACAATTCTAAGCTGTTAAAGTGTTTATAAAAAAATGTTTTTAAATCCACTATAAGTTATCACATAGACAACTATGTCATGTGCTGTGGTAGACAGTGTAGCTTGTGTCAGAGCCTTACAGTGCAGTGTTGTCTTTATGTAGGAGCTCATCAGTCAAGCGGCTCAGATACTTGGGTCTGTGGACTTCCTGGGGAACCCCATGGGCCTCCTAAATGACGTCTCTGAGGGCATGACTGAACTCTTCAAACATGGCAATGTGGGTGGTCTCATACGCAGTGTAACCCACGGTGTGTCCAACTCTGCAGCCAAGGTATGTATATCTTAGGTTTGTTTCACGGTGCCTCTCACTTTTTAGGTTTGGTTAAAATCAGATAAACTTTATTCACCCCCAAAATTCAGGGAATTCTGTATTTCTGTGATATTTTTATATAGTTTATATACCCTGGTCATTAGGTATGAATGTCATCTTTTAATCATTTCTTTTAACTTTCTTTTTCCAGGTTAGAATGATTGTGCAGCATCTCTAATGAGATTAAAAAAAAACAAGATTCGGATACACAACTTCAAATTTATTTAGGATTTTCTGCAAATCCACACATGATCAAAAATATACATAAAGCCTCAAATATATACATAGACATTAGAAGAGTTAAGTAAGTTTTGTTGTTTAGGTGTATAATGTCCAGCCAATGACAGCAAATCGTCATTTAGTTTTAGTCATAATTTAGGCATCTAAATTCTTTTAATTCGTTTTTGTTGATTAAATATTCTAAGATTATAGTAGATTAAATCTGAAATGATTTAATCATTTAATCAAGCTCTGCCCAGGTGTCACTGTGGATGATTCAAATTCGGTGGCAGCATATTCACCTTGTGGATGTAGCACCTGGTTCATGAGCTGTTGGAAAGTGGCTGGGGCTCCGAACAAGCCAAAAGGAGGTGTGAAAAATTTGTACAAACCATATGGAGTAGAGAAGGCCATTTTTTTCCTTAGACTGCAGAGACAAGGGAATGTGCCAGTATTCCTTGGTTAAATCCAGTGTTGTAAAAAAAAGTGAGCAGTGCCTAACCGGTCCGTGAGCTCGTCAACCCAGGGCATGGGCTACGCATCAAGCTGTGACATTTCACTTGTGCGAGACATGAACGATGTGCCCTGGTCGATCAGTATGTCTTTCTGGAGATGACCTGAAACGGCACCTGCGCCACACTCTTTGCAGAAATGGTGCATAGAACCAGTCCATTTATAGTGTGGTGGGACTCTACTTTGTTTGTCAGTTTGCAGGGACTTTATCAGATGGGCTGGGAAAGACTATGGACAATCGGCACCAGAATGAACGAGAGTACATCAGATACCACGGAGCCACCAGTGGAGAGCACCTGGTAGCAGGGATTCATGGATTGGCTCACGGTACAACTTCAAAACTCTTCTTTGTCTGGTTAATGCTACCACTAGTTGATAAAAGATTCATTTAATTAGTGTCTGAATGAAGAGCCTCCCAAACCCTTAAAAATGTAATTTATGTAAATTCTGTTGTCCGTATGCTAAAATGCTAAAAAAAAAAAAAGTGGTGGGGAGAACAAATTATTGTTGAAACAAAAGATTTAAGATCAAACAATACAGATTACTGAATGAAAGATGACACTAAAATGATAATTGTTAATAGAAAATATTTGAGCCCTTTGGAATAAGTGATGTTTCAGAATTGATTTTTACATAATTTGAGCTGATCTTCAGATGACAGAATTATTAGCCCCCTATGGAAATTGTGAAAAGTTGAAAAGTGCTGTTTAATGGAGCAAGGAATTTTTTAACTATTATCCACTGTCAGGGTTCCTGGGTCGTTGACCCAGTGATTTCAGTTTGCTCATGTTCAGTTTAGTTCGCCACATTAATGTTCTCACTTCCTGTTTTTTCCCCGTGTCAGCTTGTCTCCCGTGTCATTAGTCAGATTATGTTCAGCCCTGTACTCACCTGTTTCCAATCATTGTCATCATTCAACCTGTGTATTTAAGTTCCTCGGTTTCACCAGTTTTTTGTCATGTCATTGATGTTATGTCGTCGTTCCCGTTAGTGCTCAGTTATTTAGCCAGCCACTCAGTCTTTCAGTCAGCTAGTCAGTTCTGCCGTTCCTGCGTTGTTCATTCACCCACTCCAATAAATCCTCATCATTTCTGCACCGTGAGTCCTGCGTTTGGGTCATTTCTTCCACGCCTCCACACACAACCTCTGACATCCACAAAGGGCGAAAATATGGAACAGTAGTGAACCTTCCCAAGAGTAGCTGGGCAACCAAACTTACACAGCGCAGCAACGACTCATCCAAGAGCCTCAGAACAACATACCAGAAACATTACTCACATGAAATATCAAAGTTACGGATTGCCTACATTAAACTAAAGACCCACTGCCTGCTCCCCTTGAAGCTAGCATTTTTGCAAGTTTGTACATCCTTTTAAATACACGTTCTGTCCTCTCTCAGGTATCATTGGAGGCATGACGAGCATCATCACTTCCACAGTGGAGGGTGTGAAGACGGAGGGTGGGGTCGGTGGCTTCTTCTCTGGCCTGGGTAAAGGCCTTGTTGGTACTGTGACCAAACCGGTGGCTGGAGCTCTGGACTTTGCATCAGAGACAGCCCAGACAGTCCGTGATATGGCTAGTCTAAGTAATCATAGGTGGGTTAAGTCTGTTCTCTGTAGTATTCGAATCCAAAACATTCTTTTATTTTGTTAAAGTCAGTTTTATTATATAACCTCAACCTGAACATGCACCAGCTTATATTTTGACCATGTGCACACGGATTCTCTCCAAGCAGATTAGGCCACTCTGCGGTGGGGAATACTCTTCATTTCAGTAGATGTTTTTCTGATAGTGGTGAAAGTAAGTTTAAGGATATTATTCCTCCACTATCCACTATCTCCTTCAATGCCTTGTGCCCACACAGTGCAGAGCAACTACTTAATTGATGTCTGGGGGCATAGAGTTTATCTTATTAAATGTATTACATGTTTGGTGCATACAAGTCTGGATACTGTGGCTCCTCTGAAAAGGAAAGATGTAACTGAAATGTGCAATCTACATTTAGCCTGAAGATACTTTGAAATACTTTGTTACTCTATAAAAAAGCTCCCTGTGAAGCTAGAACATCTTACTGTTCATCACTGATTGAAAAAAAAATAATAGCAACCTTAGATTTCTCTTCAGCGCAGTACAGCTTTCAGTATCACTGAAGTTTATTTAGACTCTTTTTCTCCAACCTCAGTAATTATTACTTCAGTAATTCCAAAACATCAACATGTGTTTTAGACCATATTCCTACAAGACTGCTCAATGAAGTCCTGCCATCCTACAATCTTTCACTCTTAAACATGCCTATCTCTATTAATGACCTCGGTACCACAGACTTTCAAGCTAGCAGTGATTAAACCACTACTCAAAAGCCATCGCTTTACACATCTGTCTTAGCTAATTATAGACTCTCTAATTAAAGACAATCTCCAACTTTCCTGTTATCTTAAAAATGGTTGAAATAGTAGCTGTAAAACAGCTAACAGATCATCTGCAGGGGAATGGTTTATTCAAACAGTTTCAGTCAGGTTTCAAAACTCATCACAGCACAGAAACAGCTTTAGTGGAGGTTACAAATGATCTTCTTATGGCCTCTTACAGTGTGCTTCTTCTTTAGCTACTCCTTTGTTGCCTTGGTGGTATGTTTTGAGTCATTGCCATGGTGGAAGACTCATCCACGATCGGTCTTCACTGTTCTAGTTGAGGGAGGGAGGTTCTTGTTCAGGTTTAAATGGGTTAGTTGATGTCAGAAAGTTGTTTTTTGGTTTCATCTGACCACAGCACTTTCTCCCAAGCCTTCTCTGAACCATTTAGACCAGGGGGGCCAAACCTACGGTCAGCGATACAATTATATCTGGCACGCAAGATCATTTCATATGTCAGTTGTTAATGGTCCATCGGTATGTGGGAGCCAATCTTCAGCCCTGCTGAGAATCAAGAAGAAATTCCTGCTAAGTATTACCAGCATGTAGACTTTCCAATGTGCGGCCATAACTTCCTGGATCAAATTTACACCTCAACGTCTCCAGTCTCCCTCAGAATGCTGTTGAAGTTCTGCCATAGACCTGGCAGCAGGCGTACGTTTTATGTGTGCCAGGTCTGTCCAGCATCCTCCCCCGCCACCTGATCCAACTCACCACCAGGTGTTGATCAGTTGACAGCTCAGCCCTTCTCCTTACCTGAGTGTCCAGAACATATGGCTGCAGGTCTGGTGATATGATTACAAAATCAATCATCAACCTGCGACCTAGGGCAGCTGCGTGCACTTATGGACACCCTTATGTTCAAACATGGTGTTTGTTATGGACAAACTGTGATTTGCACAGAAGTCCAACAACAAAACACCACTCTGGTTTAGATCCAGGAGGCCGTTCTGCCCAATCACGATGCTCCAGGTCACTGTCGTTGCCTACATGAGCGTTGAAGTCTCCCAGTAGGACAAAAGAGTCCTCAGGTGGAGCACCCTCAAGCACCCTGCCCGTTCGGCGCATAAGCACAATTGACAGTCAGGACCCGTTCCCCGACCCTAAGGCACAGCTTCATTTTTGTCTAATGTTCTTAGAACTGAAATATCCTGAATCGTTCTTGTTCTTGGAAGTGTTTACATTCTGCTGCTATGTCGTTCAGGCTCACTGTGCAGCGTGTGAGGAAGCCCCGCTGCTGTAAGGGACCCCAGGGTCTGCTGCCTCGATACTCAGCCACACAGGCGGACGGTCAGGAGCAACTGTTCCACCTCACAGACAACATTCACTCCGAGTTGTGAGTGTAACTCAGTTCATTGTGTGTTCTTACAGTTGATTGCCTGCAGATTCAGCAAAGCTTAATGTTTTATTTCCTACAGCTTCATTGCTGTTGAGCCCATCGACACGTACTGCGTACTCATCTCCTCGAAAGTTGTCTACTTCCTGAAGCCAGGTGACTTCGTGGATCGTGAGGCCATCATTCTGGAGGTCAAATACGATGACCTCTACCACTGTCTGGTATCTAAGGATCATGGGAAGGTATATGTGCAACTCACCAAGAAGGCTGAGAATACTAGCAGTGGTGTGGCAATTCCCGGTCCTTCCCACCAGAAGCCCATGGTGAGTTTTCGGTGACATTTTTGGATTGTTCCAGTGGTTTTGATTGATTCAAATTAGACAAAAATACTGTCTCATTTCTCTTTAAGCAGATAGTTTGCATTAGACCAAGCAGGACAAATAAAAGCCAGACACAGATTCATTCACAGAAGAAGAAACCAATCCACTATGTTTTTTATTTTGTGTCCTGTGTGATACTCAAACAACTACACCCATCAATATGGTTTACTGCAGAAAAAGAGACTCCTAATTTCCCTTTGAACATCTTCTGCAGTATGTTTGGTAACTAAGAATATAACTTCATCTTAGTAGCCATGTAAGTGTCTGGTGCTTACCCTCTGATCATGTGTCATCACAAGTAGGGATGTTCCTGCCGACTAATTTCCTAAATCGACTAAGCAAGTGGGAAAATGAGACTAATAGACCAATTTAAAACTAAGAAACACTCATATACAGGGCTCTAGACAAACTTTTTGCCACGGTTGCACTGGTGAGCACTTTGCGCACCAGTGTACTTTTTGCGCACCAGCACAAAAGTTAGGTGCACCCAAATTTTTCAACCGCATTGCTTAACACCACAGTTTTACATGTGCACTTTTTTGGGGGGGGGAAATTGCTGTCCATACAGACAATTGATTTGTAAACAATTAATTAACAATCTTGTCAACACAAAGTTCTTTATTTGGAGCACATTTCTACAAGAAAGATAAGTTACTGAAAAAGCAGTGAGCCACCTTCTCCACCTTATCTGGGAAAAAACACTTCATTCCCAATCCAGTGTGTCCTGGGTCTACCCCGTGGCCTCCAGTTGGAACCCAGGAGGCAACCGCATCAACTGGCTCATTTCGATATGTAAGAGTAGCAGCTCTACTGTGAACTCCTCCCAAATGACTGAACTCCTCACCCCATGCTAAGGGAGAGCACATCCACCGCCTGAAGAAAGCTAATTTTCCCATTTCGATTATCATAATATCAAGAACATTGATATAACTGCTTTCTCCCATTTAATTGAGTCTTCCTAGCAGAGACAATTTATCTACTCCTGATGAACTGGTGTCTCACTGCAATTATGGACTCCAGTCTTATGGATATTTTTGCTCCTTTAAAAACCCAGTGTCTCCTTTATCCACTCTGCTGGGTGGAATTTGACCCACTTCCCACTTAGGAGGCTAAATCCTACTTATCCTTACTCTTTCCTTTAATAGCAGACATTATTCATTCTTCCCTAATCTCTGCTTTTTTCCTTTACCTCTTAAAACAGCTGTGATAATTCCAACTCTCAACAAACCTGATGCAGACCCTTCCAACCTAAATAATTTGTGTCCAATTGCTAATTTACCTTTTCTTTTGAAAACTTGCTGTTTAGATCTACTCTCACCTTCCTAACAATCGTCTGTTTGAGCATTTTCACTCTGGTTTTTGGTCACTTCACAGTAGTGAGACAGCCCTGGTCAAAATCACAGATGATACTCTTATGGCAGCTGACTCTGGGCAGACACCCATGGGCTTCAGAGCTGTCAGCATGCAGTCAAGTCTATAGAGTGTTGATCTACTCATGTTATTCAGGTGTGTTGCAGCAAAAAAAGTAAACGTTTGGGGACACCAGCCCTCCAGGACTGGAGTTTGACACTTTATAATAATGGTTTGGGGAAGCCTGCAGATACAAAATTCAAGGTCTTAGAAGTACTCCCCACCTACATAATGTGATGATAACATTGCAGAGGTCAAGTTGTGGGTTAGAAGACCAAAATAACTTTCTTTAATCCCGAACCTTCATGAGCTAGGATTCTTTTTCAATCAGATAATGAGATACACTTCAGCTGAATTTTTAAAATTCATGTCATTTTAAATTGTAAGAAGTTGTCTAATTTAGTTCTCCAATTTCAGTGACTGGTGGCTTATAGGACCAGTTTTCATTCAAATTGTTCTGTCTCTTCCCAACTTCAGTGTTTTCATTCTTTGACGCTCCTTCCGTAGGTCCATGTGAAAAGCGAGAGCCTCGCCATCAAAATATCTCAAGAAATCAACTACGCCAAGAGTCTGTACTACGAGCAACAGCTCATGCTTCCTTCCACTGAGAATGAGGACTGCTTACTGCTTGAATCCTGATCAGGACTTTTGGAGATGGTGTCTGCAGGATTGTGGGGCATTTAATTGATTTTTGCAGATAACAGTTTTTTTAAATCTGTTTTGACAAACAGCAGTAAAGGGTACTGGGTACAGATACGTGACCTGATGTTTCAGAAAGCACAGACATGTACAGGATAGAAAAAAAATAAAACTTGCACTGCAGTGTTCTTTTCACTGTGTATATGTAGAAAGCCCTTGTACTGCATTTGGCCTTTGCATTTATGACTTTTATGGCTGTAGTTGTACACATTCCACAACAGTTCTATATATTTGTGACTAGACTTAAATGTAAATAGAGCTGCATACCAAGAGTATAAATTGTTGTACATACTCTATTATGATGAAATATAGAAAGTCACAACTAAAGTGGATTATGTAAGAAACTGCCTTTACAAATGTATTTTGTGTAAGAGTCTATTAGAGATGGGGACATTGATTTGCACTGACATTGGGGTGGGACATGCAGCCCCCTCATCCTTTCAATTATACACACTGGAGTGTCCGTCATCGCCTACACTGCTTTTTACAATCATAAATCTAATGTGTCTAATTTTATTTAGCTACCCTTTTTTAATGACCTCATAATGAGCCTTCTAACCAAACTTTAAAGCAAAGTGAGGGCTTCCTTTTTACCTTTTACTCTGAGCAGCCCCATACGATAGGAAGCCACTGTTTGCAGGTGTGCGTGCACGTGCGTTATCACAGGCCTGTCAGAGAGATGACACACTCGGTCTGTGATCCTGTTAAAATGGTAAGATTTAAATAGACACTACTTCAAATAAAGCACCAGATTGCAGTACTCACTGTGGGGAACGCATTATTTTCCGACTCATTCAAAACACACATTTCCATTGTTGACTTCTTGCTTGTCCAGTGGTCTTTACTTCAATGATACACAGGGGCCACTACTGTCCTGTCTCAGGAAAACCAAGACCAAAAATGTGGAAGAAAGAGCTGGCCAAGTCTACAATCTCAGTGTTTTTTCCCTATATATTTTTTTTGTTTTTCTTTTTATTACCGGAGCCACAGCTGAGGGGTTGCAAAACCCTGAAATTAGACAGCTGGCAAGAAAGATTACTGCTGCTGTCACTCCTCTTCCTCCTCTGCCTGTGCTTCAAGGATTCTGAGAGTTAGTATGATTTAGGTATTGATTCATTTTAACTATTGCATTCTGCCTGCTCTAATCAAGTTCACTTAATGTTTAATAGTCCACATTTAATCTATTTAGTCATATGCAGTTGAGAGTTTCTTTCTTTTACATAACGTTTGTATATAAAGGTATAATGATATTTTTAAAAATTACATACATAATCTATACATTAAATTAAATCCCTAAAAAACTGATATTAGTCTTTACTACCTCATTTTAAGTAAATTCCACCTAAAGTTGGGGTCAGCTTCATAACAGTTAATGTACATTTAAGGTATTTTTGTAGTTTAACATTTAAACCTTATACATTATATCACTGGACAGCAGTTTATTCATTTTCTTTCTTCTGAAAACTCTAATTGATGCTCTATTCCTCCACTGTCAAGCTCAAACTTTGTGAAACTTGTGCTTCATTTATATAGCACCAATTTACAGCACTTTACCCCTACAATATTAGAGAGGAAACCGCAACAATCAGATGACCTTCCAATGGGGAGCACTCTGTGACAGTGGGAATGAAGAACTCTTAATAGGACGGGATGTGATTATTTGTAACTTTTTCAGTGATGACTTTTGCTGGGCAAAAAAGTAAAACAGGCAATGTTACTGGAGAAGAGCTGCAGGAGCATGTAACTGATGCTGAGAAAGTGGTGGTTCAATATTATAGAGTCGATCCTTACTTCCAACAGTGAAAGGACCGGAAACGTGGAGTGGCAGTTATTACGAGTGAAAATGTGCAGCTGTCAACCATCAAAGTGAAAAAAGACTGGGCCCTCCAACACGGTACTGGAAGGAGATGCCAGTCAACCAGTAAATAATCCAAAGCAAGACCTCAGTATCCACCAGCTACTTGAACAAAAAACAAAACCGATATAGATAAATATGCTCAGTGAAAGCAGCCCAAAGCTCCTCAGAATATGAAAACGATGAAAAATCAACAAACACTATATGGATGCTCCCAAAGTGGCAAAAAATGTTTAAAAATCATCTGGTCCTTAACAGGTATAGTAAATCCAAATGTAGAAGTAGTGTGAAACAATTAAGTAAAGCCTTATTTAGGCAAATAAATGGAAAATGGACTGGTTCTTATATATCACTTTTCTATTCTACTTTTCTACACATTCCAATGATCAGAGAGCAACTATGGGTATCAGTGTCTTTTCCACAGATGCTTGGGCATTGTTAGAATATACTTTTTATGTTTAATGCTTATAAACCTCATTACTTTATATTTCAAATAAACTCATAACACATTTATGTTTTATCTAATCTCACACATTCAAATGTTATCTTTCCAATGTGGGTGTTGGGTTGTGATACCTACAAGAAAACAACTCTGGGTCTCCTGAACAACCTAAGAGGCATGGTGTTTTTAACTTGAACCTTTTAACTGCTTAATAAATTTAAGAAAATGTACTTTGGGCATATTTGTCTTTCATCTCATGAAATGAATCTGACAGCGTGCAGACTGGAGCAGCCACAGATCAAACCACCAACCTTCCAATTAGTAGATGGACTATACCTCCTGACCTACAGCCAACGTTAGCTGTCCAGCCAGGTGCTGATTATCAAATGCACTTAAGCGCTCCTCAGTAGCCATTTTTGTACTTTCAGGCCTTTGCTACTAACAAGCTCCAACAGGGATGACTCCAGAGGGACTGCACACAATGAATGAGAAAAAAAAGGGTTCCCAGTCATCCAGGTCATGGTAGTCTGAGGAGCTTTGAAAGAAAGCAGCTGGAATTCTCTAAGTTTCTTGAAGACCTTTCACCCCTTGTGAGGAGAAAATTGTTAGAAGGCAAAGAAACTCACAACTCAGAGACCGTTAACTTGTCTGTTAACACAGGAGGTAGTATCATATGTCACAGCATTCTTCTACACATATGGCTTCACTCTCTTTTCCTGTGGTGGTTCCAATTCACAAGCTCTCCTTCCTTTAAATGAAGCTACAACTAAACATAATCACAAAACTAAAAAATCTCTCAACATTCTCTCCTGTTGTAGCAAATTTAAACAGATACTTCAATGTGTTTCAGTCATAGACCCTACATTGTGAGTGCTTTCGGTCTGGTTGTCATAAAATGTGTATCATTCAAACATAATCATTCATCACATTAGTTTCATACTCATCGTCTTCTCCTTCTTCCTCGTCTGGCACAGTGACATATGCAACAAGAGATTGAGATATCATTCTTGATACCATTCCTCTTACACAGGGGATAATGCATGTAGTAAAGATATAAAACATGATAAGTATTAGGCCAATAAACATCAAAACCTTAAACATCAATGTTCTCCATGAGCCGCTCATAAGCCAATCCCACCAATTACTTTGTGAATTTGCCCAATCGGTTACCTGTGCCTGTTGAACGTTTCGAAGTAATTGTAGATTATTTGTCATATTACCAGAATGCACATTGTCTGGAATATATGTACAACAAGTTGTATTAAACAAAACACACAGTCCACCCTTTTCTGCCAAGATCATGTCCAGGGCAACTCGGTGTTGCATAACAGTTATTCTTATGGCATCAATTTCCTGAGTTTGCTCTTTGTTGATGGTGGTCGATGCATTTAAAAACAGCCCAAAACGATAATCCAATAGTCAGGGGGTCGCTGTGGTTTAGGACAATTCCTGAATATTGATAACCTAGATTGGCAAAGCTTGCTGCGCATGTCACTTGAGTCATGTTCATAGGTCTGCCATATAATGTAGCATGCTGTGTTGTAGCAGGCATGTGCGAGTATATATAACAATCTTTGCCTTCTGTGCGATTATATATGTATCTATACCAGGCCTTGTTCATCCAGGGATGGATGTGGTCCTGTGTCACTTCAGCCAGGTGTGAGTTGTCATATGTCCATGCCCTTCTATGCAAGTTGGCTTCTTGATCCTTTAAGTGCATCAGAGTCCATGCTGTAAGCAGCAGGGCCAAGGTGGTAAACAGAATAATCTTCATGATGACCAGACACACCGATTTACTCTGGTGAGTGGACTACAGGCGAGAAGTAGAAGGCGGGATATACCCAATCAGCCCTCCCTTCACCTGTAGATCACCAAAGAGTCGGGGTGGTGGTGTCTTTAGGTTGTGCTGTCACTCACTTCCACTTTTTTGCAATGGCTCTGGTGGACCCAAGAGGGCCTCTCAGCGATTTTGCAAGCTGTTGGTGTCGTTAGGAGTACTTGGTATGGACCTTCCCACCGGGGTGAGTTCCAATTCTTTCTCTGGAGTACTTGTATAAGGACCCAATCGCCTGGCTTTAATCTGCAAGAGACTTGAGAAGCGTCGCACAGCAGTTCAAAACAATATCTCTATTTTCTACTAAAGTTGCCTCTCTAACAGATTTATCTATTGGTTCACTTGCATCAAATCATGCATATTTTCACTGAGGTCTGATTCAAACTATCTTACTTCTGATTCTTTCCAAAAATAATTTCACATGTAACAATTTACTGTATATATGTGTGTTTTCTATTTTTGTTTACCTCTTTGTTGTGATCTGGTGGACATCTCTAAACACCATCATGAGTTCAGGCTTCAATTTCAACCCAATTATACTCCTCTGGGCTTCACGTTCACTGGCCCCTGTACCCTTCTCAAAGTATCCTTCGTTGTCTTAAATCTCCAGCAAACATAATCTGTTTCTTCTCTGTTTCTTTTCAGTATTTTCCTTTTAGATTAAGTCCCAGCCAGGCAAAATATCACATTCAGTGCCTTTAAACAGTTATGTCACACTGTTCTTACCAGCCTGCTGTTAATTCTTCAAGTCCATGATGTTCTGTTGGTCTTCATCAGGAGATTGACTGTCCTTTGAGCTTCTTCTCAGGATCGGGACAAGTGGGAGGTCAAGCTGTAAAAATTTAAGCCAAACTTTGGCCTGTTTTCTCCCAATTATGTTAATCTATGGTTTTGCTGCTATGCTCAAAATTCTAGGTTGAGAAAAGTCCACCTTTATCTATTTGTGACCTGTATTGACACACTAAACCATAATATTAATATCATTTTCATTTCTTTTCTTAAAGCCTCCATTTGCTTCATCTGGCTAGAGTCTGTCTCTTCTGTTTTTCTCTCTGGGTGCTCACTCCTTTTATGGGCATGCAAAGGTCCTGTCACACACACACTTCCTGTTACTCTCTTTTGTGTTTCTACAGGCTAATCAAACTCATTTTGTATTTACAATCTACAAACCCTCTGTAATTCTACTAACTTTTAATCTAAAATGTAGCGTCATTCACACAATAATTTCATAATCCTCTCACACACACTGCCTTTTAAATAAACTAAACTCTTTGCATTTTTATCTATTTCAGGCATTTTCTAGGTCTCTGTTTTATGGTGCTGTTAGTTCTCTCTACTAACCCTGCACTCCATAGATGATAAGCACAATGATTTCTTATGCTGAATCCTAGTGCTTCAGAGACCTTACTGATCACATCATTGACAAAATGTGTCCCATTGTCTGATCTTGTCAGAGAAGGGATACCATATGTTGGAATAAAATGATTACATAAACATTTTGCAATGGAGATTGCCTCTGCTTTTTACTGGATATACAGTGGGGCAAAAAAGTATTTAGTCAGCCACCGATTGTGCAAGTTCCCCCACTTAAAATGATGACAGAGGTCAGTAATTTGCACCAGAGGTACACTTCAACTGTGAGAGACA